ATTGACCTTTAAAATATTTGATGAATATAGCACCCAAAAAGTTGGCAAACTCACGACAAAGCTGTACAAAAAATAAGGAGAAATTAAAGAAAATGGATGTTTTTTTTTTGGTTTTTTTTTTTTTTTTGAACAAATGGATGGTTTTCGTAAGTGCCAAAATTATGCACTGCATGCTGCATGTGTCTAAATGATGTACTGCCTGATGTTTTTCCCCAATTACTTTTTGTTCACTTTTTTTTTTTTTTTTTTTTTTTTTTTACACACACTTTTGCTGTTCACAATTCTAAATTCCTAAACCATTAGCTTCCTCCAGAAGCTAACTAACAAATCCTTATACCATTAATATAGCTATGAGATTTTACCAATAAACTTTTTTTCTTTTTACCCCAAACTACCTTTTAAATATAAAAATATAAAATTAAATATTAAATTCACTTTGGCACCAAGTTCCTCCTTTATATGAGAGGTTGTGGGTTTGAGTCTCAGTAGATAAAAAATTCATATATAGGAAACATGAGGAAACATATTCCTCCAATAAAATTTAAAAATAAGTGGGAGTAGTATTTTTCAAAGAGTTTTTCTAACCCTATGATTGTAGAGTATCCTCCAACTTGAGTTCACAATTTTCATTACCAACATAAGTATGTAGTACTTTCGGTGAGTTTTTTTATTAGAAATGAACTCAAGTTGACGGAGACTCTAAAGTCATAGGACCAAAAGTATATAAAAAAAAAACTCTTAATAATAATAATAATAATAATAATAATAATAATCTATCTATACATATAAATATATAAAAAAGTTATAAGAGTGGATCTATGTTGATATCCATAATTTATGTTTATTGAGTTGTAAATTGCGCTACAAATATTGTACTATTAATTTTATTTGACAAATTTATATATTAAATATTACCATAATTATATTTAATGGATCTATGTTGATATCCATAATTTATGTTTATTGAGTTGTAAATTGCGCTACAAATATTGTACTATTTATTTTATTTGACAAATTTATATATTAAATATTACCATAATTATATTTAATTATGTATTATATTTTTTTCTTAAATACTTATGATTTTTTACAAGATAGTATCATACCTGTTCAAAGAATCTAAATCCCCACCACCGGAATTGGAACCTATGATCACTCATTTGGAATGGTAACCAAAATGTCATCACACTACGTAATTGACAATCATGTATCATATTTAAAATTATTACTTTAACAATTATTAACTATACTATAATTATTACCCAAAATATGATATGACTATTACCCAAGTGATTAATTAATTTGAGATTAAGCCTTATAAAATTAGTGAACTAAAGTCTAGTTTAAATGGTTAAGCTTGATCAATTTCAAACTCAAGATACTATAACTATTTTAAACTCAAACTCAAGATACTATAACTATTTTAAACTCAAACTCAAGCCTAACTAGTTTCAAGTTCATTTTGTTTGCACCTCGACTACTATACCTACCATATCCACCTACTTAACTCATCACCACCACTAACTCCGTTATAGCCAATATTTTCGTCCACACATCATTATTTACTTTTATTTTTAAGAAAAAAAAAATGGACAATTTATGAGTTACATGAACGAAATTTATTTAATATAATATATATTTTTGAGTAATAATGTTGAATTTTTCTCAATCACACAACATATAAATCACCAAAGCCATACATCCATAAATTTTTCTCAAGCTATCACACGAGCCATACATCCCTAATTAAATTACCAAATACATCAAACTCTAGGCCAAAGACATTCTTTCACAATTACAAGCTAAAAGAAATAATATCTCGTATAGAAAATATTTAACTACCGTGAACAAGATGAAAATGAATACAAATAGTACGAGAATACCCAAAAGATGCCTAAAATAAATATAAACTGACATTCAAAATATCTGATGAAGATAACACCCAAGAAATTGGCAAAACTCACAGCAAAGTTGTACCAAAAATGAAGGAGAAAGAAAATGAATGGTTTTCTCTTTTTTTTTTTTTTCTTTTTAAACAAAAACACAAAACACTTTATATATTCTTCAAGTCATTACACAAAGCGTGAAAAATAAAAAAACGGGTCAGTATCAAACCAAACCCGACTCTCTAACAATAAACTAGCATCCCTAGCTAATAAATGAGCCACAACGTTAGCAGCTTAACAAAACAGAGAAACATTTAAAAATAAAACTAGAAGACTATTAATATCATGAAGGATCAATCTATAAGGCAAACGATTCTCAAGATGCAACTGAGTAAGGACAAGTTGAGCATCAGTTTCGAAAGTAACATCATCATAATTAACTTTGACTCTTAAATCAACTCAGGGTCTTCCGGATACTTAACGCTTCAGCCTCCTCAAGTAAAACCGCACCATTCTTACCCACCGCTCCTGATGCCACACAATGCCCCCGCCAGTCTCGTAAAACCCAACCCATACCAATCGTGTTCCTATCCTCCCGGACCACCCCCCCCCCCCCTCCCCCCCTCTAGGATTCATACGCACTCCCTCCCAAATTTGCTTGTTTCTTGCATCCCAAATTCCCGAGAAAACAAGGACAAAGTGACAAGCCTCTCCCATACTAATTAAGCTTAAGTGACAAAATTGTACCTTTTCAATTTTTTCTCCACGTATGTGTCTAAATGATGTTTTTCCCCCAACTAGTTTTTGTTCACTTTTGCTGTTCAGTCCTAATCAAACCATTAGCTTCCTCAAGAAGCTAACTAACAGATTAGCATAAGAGAAATAGGGAATACAAGTTCGCTTGGTCTAAAATTGACTATTTATCACATAAGAGGAAAACTCAAATCAACGGTTCTCATTTTTTAATAACTTGTAATACTTTAAAATTTAAATTTAAATAATTAATTATATTTAAAAGTTTTTTTTTTTAAAGAGTTGATCAATGTTTCACGAACGGCTAGAACCGTATACTAACAGTTCATGTTATGACTTTTGCCCCGAATAAATCACCAATTTTTGTAAATATATAAATTTTAAGAATAAGGGCAAAATACGTTATTAAAATAAAATTTTAAAAATTATTTTTTAAATTCGATAACCACTATGTTAGCATTCTATCAGGTAAAGAGGTCATTTTGAGTTGAATTGCATGGATTTGTGTTGTTCAAGAATCCAATTGTATATTTTTTTTATTTTTTTTTTTTTAGTTTGATGACCTAATTGCAGTTTGATATGTAATTGAATTAGAGCCGTCAACACGGACTTAGCCCTCCGAGCTAGCCCGTCCCTTGACGCCAAAAAAAAAAAAAGGCAGGCGCGAGCTTTGATATTTTAGACCCATATTTTGGCGAACATTTTAGCCCACCATATCAAACCCGTCAAATGTATAATAAAAAATTATTAACATAAATAAATGTTACAATAGTAAATTTACAACATTAAATTTGTCTTGTCAACTTGATTATATTAAAACATTAGTGTGTGTGTGTATATATATAACCTTTTATATAATTATAAATATGTGTTTATTTATTTATATTAAAAAAATGTATTACGGAGTAATAATTAGTACATTGTATTTTTTTTAATTTGATTTTATATTTATATATAATATTTCTGAAAAAATGTATTAGTAATTAGTACGTGTACGCATTATATATAATATTGTTGAATTAAGGGGAAATGACACTTTTTTCTCCTGAATTATTTAAGTGGCTTTTTTTTCCCCTGAAATGTTAAATGGACATATTTACCTTAAAATAAATATTTCATTTATTTTTCTTCTCCAACAAATTATTAATATAATTTGGTTCAAACCAAACGATACTATAGCAACCAAACCAAAATATTCCAATTACAATTTATAATCAAAACGCGATATTTAGAGTTTATTAAAATCGCGAACCGGAATGACCGGTTCATGTTCCAAACTGAAAAAATAAAATACATTTATTGTTGAATTTAGATTATTTTAAAATAAAAAATAAAATTTTAAAATAAAGACGGTTCAAAATCGCTAACAGGATCCGGAATTGCCGGTTCACGGTTCATGATCCAGTTTTTTTTATTCTTAAATTTAATAAATTGAAATCCAAATATTGGGTTCTAGATTTGAATCATAACCGAAAACTTTTAATTCAATTGATATAGTGTCTGGTTCAGTTCGAACCGAACCATGGTAATCGCTACATATACGCAATAATTTGTTGGAGAAGTGAAATAAATAAAATGTTTACTTTATGGGTAGAAATGTCAATTTAATATATTAGGGGGAAAAACCATCACTTTTAAAATAATTGAGGGGACTAATGTGTTTATATAAATAATTGAGGGGGAAAAAGTGCTATAAATATATAACTTAAGGAGAAAAAGTGCCATTTTCCCTTGAATTAAGTCATTTCCAGGATAGGAAATAGTATGATTCCAACAGGTGTGTAATGCATTGCTCAATTATGGGTACCATTTTTGAATTTTGGTTTACATTTAACTCAAAAATCAAGAAATCATCACTATATATAATCAAGGTAAAAAGAATTAATACATTGTATAAATGATTTGTTATTGATTTATGGATTAACACATTATGCATTTGATTAATTATTTATTAGTTATTACTTATTATTGTGTTTAACAAATTACAAATGCATTAATATATGTTTAAACTATCCAAATTATTTTAATATATACTTATTAGCTTTTGATATTCATTTTTTATTTAAATTTAAAACTTTTAAAATTTGATAGTCTCCGCCAAAGTCCGTGGGCTTAAGTCGGGATGATTCGGGCCGACCTTTCTTAGATTCGTATTTAGCGGGCTTTTTACTCCACCACTACCATATAGCGTGCCTCAGCGGGCTTTGACAGACCTCACCCTCCTAGCTTGTTTCGATAGCTCTAAGTTGGATGACATATTTGACCCTTATTCATAAATCTTATTTAACTAATAATAAATTAAATATTAAAAAGAATTAAATTGTAAACAAGTCGAACATGCTTTGAATGAACAACGTACGACGCCGTTAGGAAACACGGCATTTCTACAGCAGGCCAGCTGTCTCTGCTACTGGAGAAAGAAAGCAATGGAGAAGATCGGAAAGCGATTCCAAGGGAAAGTGGCAATCGTCACAGCTTCAACTCAAGGCATCGGCTTCAGCATCGCCGAGCGGATCGGCGGCGAGGGGGCCGCCGTTGTCATCTCTTCTCGCAAGCAGGTTAAATTTTTTTTTTTTTTTTTTTTAAAAAAAACAAAATTCTTGACTTTTATCTGAAAGTTAACAGACTTTAACTTCTGGGTCTTATAGATTTTACCAAAGATATAAACTTTTTTAATGTTGGTGGTACAAATCTTGTATGGGTCATTTTCAAGGTTTGGTTTTGGGGTTTTAGCTTTTGTTCAGATTGGGAATTTTGGAATTTTTGTGAGTTGAGGAAGGTACTATGATGTTTTGTTTGCAGAAAAATGTGGATGAAGCAGTTGAGAAACTGAGGAGTAAAGGCATTGAAGTGTTGGGAGTAGTATGCCACGTGTCAAATGCAGAGCATAGGAAGAATTTGGTAGAGAGGACAGTGCAGGTAATTCTTGGTTGTTTGAATCCAAATCCATTTTTGTAATGAATTGTGGTTTAGATTTATTGCAATCCAATGTAGAAATTATCCTCTAGATGTGGTGATGGGTTGAGAGAGTGTTATTTGATATCTTTCACTAAAGGGTTCGAATCCCACTAGGAACGAGGGTCATTGAGAGACCTTGACCGATATGAGAGACACTGACGGGGCGACTCGTGATTTACCTCCTCCAGTCGCACTTGGGCCGGGGCGCTGGGGGGCTTAGGATTGTTGAGCATATAGCCATTAATGTGCAATCTAACTATCAGCTTAGGCTTTTAGTTAAGATGGAGCACATGCTTTAATTACCTAATGTATCAAAAGAGAAGTTTTAACTACGGGGGCGAGTGGCATTGGTTGGAAGTTAATGTCTCACCTTGCTTGGTAGGCAAATTTCTTCATCTCTATTCTTCAAAGAAATCTATAGAAACTTAATGATTTTATTGCAGAAATATGGAAAGATAGATGTAATTGTGTCCAATGCTGCTGCCAACCCTTCGGTGGATTCAATTTTGGAAACTAAAGAATCTGTCCTTGACAAGCTATGGGAGATCAATGTGAAAGCCTCTATACTCCTACTTCAAGTAAGTCGGGCTAATGGGCATGGACAAGATTTATCTCGAGTTGTCTGGGTGGAATGACGAGGGCCCTAATAACTTGAAGTTTCGTTTGTAATAGCAATTGCTTATCAAGTTTATTCGATTTCCCTTGCAACAGGATGCGTCTCCTCACATGCAGAAAGGTTCATCTGTCGTTTTAATCTCTTCTATTACTGGATTCAACCCGCCACAAGGAATGTCAATGTATGGAGTGACCAAAACCGCTCTTTTTGGGCTTACCAAGGTACTCGATACATTCTCGTTACATATAGTGGCAGCATTTCGTTTTATTTCATTTCAAGTTGCGTGTGGACTGTCAGGCGCTTGCAGCTGAAATGGCACCGAATACTCGTGTTAACTGTGTAGCACCGGGCTTCGTGCCCACGCACTTTGCTGATTTCATAACGAGGACCGAGGAAATGGTAAGTTCTCAACGCTTGTTTGAGACTCGTCTCGTCTCGTCACATTGAGCTTCTTCACCATTGTGGATTTGTGACCCAACTTGGAATTGGTTCTTTAATGTAGAGGAAATCCCTCGAGGAGAAGACGCTTCTCAATAGGCTCGGGAAGACAGAAGACATGGCGGCGGCCACCGCCTTTTTGGCGTCCGACGATGCTGCTTATATAACTGGAGAAACCTTGGTAGTTGCTGGAGGAATGCCTTCCAGACTCTGAGATCCTTTTTGCAGTCTTTGGTTTACAAAGCACAGTTTGTATGATCCAAAAAGTCAATTATTTTTTCCACCTTGTTATGACATAATCACGATGTCACGAAATAGCGATTTCAATCCCTCAATTGTTAATGTGAACATTATTGGCCGTTAAATGTTTTATAAGGTGACGGTTTTGGTCTCTCGCAAATAAAAACCGTTAAGTTCATCACGTTTGCATTGCATGTACGGGGTTTTGTTAGTCAAATACAGGGACAAAATTGTAATTTGGAATTTTAAACCGTTAAGCCCTTTGTTATAGGGTGATGAACCAAAACTACCAACAAGAGGGGCTAAAATTGAAAGACTAAAATTGTGTTCTTAATATAGGAAAAAGAAGATTTAATACCTAATTTAGTCTTTTTTATTTAGTTCTAAATGACTTTTTGTGCTTAATTAGGTTTTCGATTTTGATAATTTTATCTAATTGAGTTCTCGACTGTTAGAATGAAAGACTAAATTGAAAAAAATCACTATAGTTGATGACTAAATTGGGTAAAATTAGGAGCAAAAAATGTTATTTTTAAATAATAATATTTATACAATCTTAATTTTAGTTTATCTAATCGACTTTGGTTGCAATTACGCCTAAATTATACTCCGTACATCTTTTCAAGTAGCAGACATGGATTTGAAGTACCACAATCCCTCTTTAGATGTACCAAAAAACAAACACTAGGGGGTCTAAGCTGGCTCAGTTTACCTCCTCATGGAACCTAATGGACGAGTACATGCAGTCCAACAAAACTAAAAAAGTTGGATCACTAAAAAAACAAAACAAACACTAAGAGCATCCTCAATAGGAGAATTTTTGGATGATTTTTGCAACTTTTACATCCATGTGGAAAAGAGAGAAGCTTGAATTCCTCCTGCAAGTAGGACCCACTATCTCACAAAAAACGACTTTCTCATCAGTTGCGCGATGCGTGCCCAACAAGCACGTTAGTTCTATTACATTTTCTTCTTCTTTTTTCTTCATTTCCCTTCTCTCTCACATGTTCTCTCTCTTAATCACATCTGCAAAAGCCAACTAAAATCTCCATCTATTGAGATTGCTCTAATGCCTCAAAAGGGGTGATTGGGTTGGATGAAGCATGCCTTTATCAACATCTTTCTGGTCGAGCTCAAGTTATTACATAGGAACGGAGTTTACTCTTCCCCGCCACCAAAAAAAAAGAAAAAACAGATGATGTGGAGAGAAAAAAGGGAAAAGTCATAAGCACAAAAAGCAGCTCAATAAAAAATATTTACACGAGGAAGGCTAAAGGAAAAAATTGTGAATGATATCAGCTCAATGCAAACACTGCATGGCTAAACTCAGGCAGGAACAGATGTATGGGGTCACCATTACAGCAAAAAGTGATAGATCAACCCATTCTTCTTCACTCTCCATGCCATTTTATACACACTTTGAAATCCTCAGGGCTCTGGCTTCCCAACATTGCTATCAGATTTGCGCTTTTTCAGCCATATCTGATGAGGTCTAGATCGAGGTTCGAGATGGTTTTCTGCAGAATCTATACAGGAATTACACCATCACTTTGGGCATCTTCGCATGTCAAGATCAGTCCTTCGGTGTAGGTCGGGACTATGCATTGCATCCATTGACAGCCCACCGAAACAGCTTCTCTAGGTGGAACTATCATCAGCACGTTTTCATGGCGCCTCACGACCCCCATTACACTCACCGTGCTTCCTTCCTTGATGTATCTATCATACGAGGAGCAGTCTTTTCAGAAATCCACACCATTTCTAGAATCTAGTTAGTCATTAGACGCAAAAACCCGAGAGAGAGAGAGAGAGATCGTGGTTGCTTACCCTTCTTTGAGGCGCATTACACGGTCATCACTTGAGAGGCTTCGATCTGCAAGCCACTGCAAGAAATTTGGAGACGAATCCCTGTTGCTCTTTGTCATGTCAGCAACGGTTGATGATTTCACGAATGGAGCAACCTTAGCTCCATGGCCCGCCTTCACTAGAGCCCTTAATCCAGTCCGGTAGTCTGATATATAGAAGTCAGCCATGTATCTCTGTTTAAGAAGAAACAAGAAATACATGATCTACCAGAAGAGCATTTGGATAATGACTCGAGAGTTGCCAAGGGAAGAAGATAATAAAACGAGTTAATACCTCTAATGGTCCTCCGAGTATTAGGGGTTAACCAGATGTGGTCCTCCGAGTTTTAAATGACCTACAATGGTCCTCCATGACCGAAGGGCTTCCATTATCTCCCTGCCAGAGATGAAGGGACGTCTTCGTCTCCGGCGGACCATTAGAGTTATTAACTAATATGGAGGACCATTGTAGGTCATTTAAAACTCAGAGGACCACAACTGGTAAATCCCTAATACTCGAAGGACCATTTGAGGTATTAACTCTAATAAAACCATCACTAATGTCCTTGAACCGCAACTTTCTAAGGTCATTTGAGTCCAGAACTAATATTTGGAAACAACGATTGTGGAAAGAAAACCCGCCAATAAGCACGAACATGTTCCATTTATACCCTCGGTAATTCTAAGAGCTCGAAGCTAAATGAAAAAAACGAAGGACCAGCTACTGGAAAGCAAAACTACGTTCTTCGCACTTACTAACCTCAGAATGCCTTAGTCCCCATGTGAAGAAGCAGTGCCTAGAGTTTGCGGGTTTTGCACCCAACGCTCTGTACTCATACAATTCTGTTGACGCATATACACATCTCGGTATCCTCTGGAAAGAAGTTTCGAGAGGGATACTGCCACAGGTGACAATCTACAGAAAAACACTCGGGTGATGAATAAATAAGCTTCGTAAATGTCAACAAGTGTAAAACGTTAGCAATTTACATAGATAAATACTCATGACTAAGTCCAAGCTCCAGCGGAAATAACTATTGATGAAAAAAACAAAAAACATATTTCACAACGAGACCTTTGAGGTTATGCAGAAACCAAATTACTGAAAGCTTCAAATCCCTAATAAACCATTTCCTAAAAGATCGGTTTACTAATGTCATTTAGGCACGAGATCATTCTTTACGTTTCTGATACATAAAGAGGGAAAGGAAGAGCGATGCCACCACTCGATCTCTTCATTTTCTCCCAATTTCCCCGCCAACAACACATCTGATTCCACTAGTCATTAAATTAGTTCTACTTGAGGATGCTACGAATGTGCAACAAAAACTACAAATCAAGGCTTACACCTACAAAAAAACACACTATCATATGCATCTTGATAAGGATATACCTCCTTTTAACCATTATAGTAGTAGGTTCTTCGCTTTTTATCTGTTAAACAACCACAACTCTAGAACTTTACACAGCTACGTAAGACTAGCAACTAACAGAATTCCAGCCAGCCCGTAAATATTTACAGCCTATAACTTATTACTACTATAGAGTAAAAGCTTCATAAGCAGAACCCACCACTCCACTCCACCAGGCATCCATTTTACAATCAAAACCTATTATGGTATCCAACCAAATGTTTGCATATGGTATCGCAATCCACAATATACATACACCCCCAAGGGGAAGTACAACAATCCCAAACTAGCCCGCATGGGCAGCTCAACTGGTCATAGAGGTTAAAGTTGGAAAGAATGACCAGGGATCGAGTCTCACCAGTGTGGGAGCAACCTCTCAAAGTGAGGGGGCTCCTTGTGCGCAGTAAGGGTCTAGCTTCTGTGGTTCATGTTCAATTGAGTTACCATGATTTACATCCTCCATGCTCTATCGGGCCGGGGTGTGGGGGTCCTTAGGGTTGGGGTTCAACCTTTTGGAAAGAAGAATCCCAAACTACCGTAATGGTATCTTGCCTAACCTAATGTTCAGGCAGCCTAATTCCAACAAAAACTAAAATAAAAAATAAAAAATAAAAAATTCAGTTACAGGCAAGAATCAGATTGCCACTAGGCCATGAATCACAACAAAGTTTTTATCTTTTTTTTTTTAATCGAAATTACACTACATTACAGAGAAGTCCATTCTTGTCATGAACTACCAACATCATAGATTAGTGTCTGCCATGCGCTAAGGTATGTTCAGGAAAGAAAGTATTATTAATATTACCTTAAAATAAAATATATAGAAGAGTAACATAAGCAGAACTAGAATAAAAGAATCCAGCCAAAAATTTCTAATAATTTGCTAAAACACACACACACACACACACACACACACACACACACATATATATATATATATATATATATATATATATATATATATATATATATACATACATACATTCTTGTGCGTATAGATGGGTATGAGAGAGTGAAATTACCCCAGTGACCTTGATGTACTGTCCATCAATGGCACCTCTAAGCTCTGCACTATGATGTCTTTTCAGAAAGCCCAGCAAGCTTCGTTCTTTATACGCCACATTCCATATAAATAACAATACCACAGGCGCTAGAACTCCGGCGAGGGCAATGAGGACCATCGCCTTCTTCACCGCAACCATCAAGAAGGCTCCGACGACCAGAGCCATTAAAAGCACCACTAGAAACGCCCACGTGGCGAGCTTCGACACTCTAAACCCTAGCTTCGTCTGCTCGCTCAGCCTAGTAACCGCCGCACCGTACTGCAGTTTGGTGGAAGGAACGGCGGGTTCGAGGTGGCCGGAGCGGCGGCCGGCGCCGGCGCCCAATGGGCCGGAGGTGATGAGCCCGGTGGGCTGAATGGGCGTCATGATTGGGCCCGAGAACGAAGAGGACGATGATCTCTTGGGGATCGGGCCGGAGTTGTTGGATTTGTGGGGAAGCTCCCCCGAGCTCGGGCCGGATCTGACGGGGACACTGCTCTGCTGCTGCTGCTGCGAAGACGACGAAGCTCTCGTCAAGGCCTTCAGCGCGGGCGGCGCCGCGATCTCCCCGCTCGAGAAATCCACTCCGTACATTCTCCCCAGTTCGCCGGACTTCTTCACGTCGCCGCCGGTGTACGGCACCGCGCGCGACGCCATTGCCGGAGCTCGATCCTTCGCCGGCTGCTCCGGCCTGCCGGACACGTACAGCCCATTGCTCAACTGGTGCGACCCTGACCGAGAACCCATTTTCGCGAAAAAAAGTCCGAGAATCCAATGCTGCAGAGATAGATACAGAGAGAGAGAAACGAAGAGATATAGAGAGAGAGTGAGAGAGTAGGCGAAAGAGAAAGGTAAAGTGAGAGGGAGAGTGGGGGTTAGGTGTGAAAAGACCAAAAAAGGTCCGGAAAAGTAGCTAATCACACCCATATCCCTATCTTTTAAGTCGCAGAATCTGGCGCTGAAATTAGTTTTAAGTTGTTAATAACGAACTGTGGGATGATTCGCGCGGTTAGGAATTTTCACCTTTGCCCTTGTACATTACCGTTAATTCCGCTTTTGCCCTTTCCAACTTCCCCTGTTTTTCTTCACGAATTTTGAATGTCTGTGTCGGTGCGATTTTGCACTTTTTTGGAATTAATGAATTATTTTGGGACCTGCTTTTGTGAATGATAGATTATCTCTTTTGTTCCAAAAAAGAAAAAAAAATCATACCATATAATATGAAAAATGATTTATTAATTAACAATGAAAAAATATTTCATTTTAAATTGTTATTAACAAATATGGAGTATTGAAGTGTTTGACAAATGAATTATAATTGATAGTTGATTTTTTTTTTTTTTGAATGTTACTAACTTTATTACATTGTAGTATCTGTAACTGATAGTTAATTGAATTAATTAGTTTCAGATTTTGATTTATTGTCCCAATAAGTTAATGTAATAAGTCATTTTACTAAATACAAAATAGCTATTGACAATTCAAATCAGTCAAAATTGACTTATCAGCTATGCTATGGATTGTATTTTATTTTATTTCATTTTATTTGAAATTTATATGGTGTCATTGTGTTAGAATATTATGTTGAGTGTATTTGTACCTTCTTTTTTTTTTTTTCTTTGTTTCTTTTTGCAATTTATAAAGATTTGGTTATCTAAATAGATTTATACAATTTTATTTTTTGAAATAAAGAGCACAAATTTGGATCACAAGTTATAAAGAACACAAATTTGAAGCACAAATTATAAGGAGTAATGTTTTGGAGCAGTAATTGAAAAACAATGAATTAGTAGCATAAGTTTGCAAAAAGGCTTATATGTTCGGTAGAAAGATGGGCGTCATTTCTGCACCTGAAAGCGGGATGTGAACATATAATTTTACTACTTTTTTCTATTACAAATATATTAAATTACGTAATACAAGCATAATATATGCTACTAATCAAATAGCATAATGCCACTATACAAGAAAAATTTCGACAATTCTAACTCTAATATAAATATGCCAACATGCATTAAATGAAGTAACATGTTTAGGCTTATAATAACAATGACAAATAAACTCTTTGATGTGATCAGGGATGGATGATGTTTTGACATCTAATTAATTCACAAATATCAAGGTCCAAATTATGATTTCTTTAAAGATCACAATCAATCATTATACTATTAATCATGGTTCACCTTATAAGGTGGACCACTAATAAAGTTATTTTTAATATACTAAATGGTCGGTCAATGTTAATACATTAAGTGTTCATTTTTTAAATGTTTATTTCTAATATTTGATTTTTAAGTATACAGTATACTATATATCTAAAAATGAACATTTAGTATGTTAAAAATGAAAATTATCAATGGTACCCATAATAATTTGCCAATCACAATTATACCAAACAAAAACTTTATTATTACAGTATATATTTGTACTTGATGGCAAATTATTCTGTCGACCTGAGTCCATTTTGCAAGGTGGACCTTAGTCCAAATATACACAGTTTACATACTAAATGTTTACAATTTACCTTTTAAAAATTCACAATTTGTGATGACCCTATATTATATTCACAAATTTCTAAAACTTAGAAACACAATTTATATTGTATAAGTTTACAATTTCAATACTAAAAATATACTACTCCGTACAATTTATGATCAGAGTCCACATTGCAAGATGGACCATGGTATAACAACTGTTACTTGATAGACCGAAAGCCCTTGATATAACAAAATGGGCCATGAATTGGGCCTTTTAGCAGGCCATTTGAACAAAAGGGTTGGGCTTGGCCCAACACTTGGCTACAAGGTTTTGATATGGACCATGGAGTTGACATTTGACAAGGACAAGACAGAAAGCAGCTTTAAGTGAAGGGCATGGACCTGCACCAACAACTTGCTTCTTAACATGCCAAAACTCAACCTTTGGAAAGCAACATCAATGAACAACACTTGTTCATCAAATTTCTCATTAATATACATACATGAATACACTATACAAGAAAGATTTTGGGAAGGGGTCTCTTGATGATGCTATTATACAAGGAAAGATTTTGATAGTTCTTATTTCCATATCGTCATGTCTAAAAGAAGATGGAGGTAATATATTGCGTATTGTATCAGTATCTGCAAGACGAGACTAATTCAGTTGAACTTCAGTTGGGTCTCATACTGAAAGAGCTCTTCCAATAAAATGCTATACAGAAAAAGATTTTGATAGTTCTTACTCCATGTCGAAAGAAAATGGAGGTAATATCTTGCATATTGTACCAGTATCCGCATCTTGCAAGATAAGACTAATTCAGTTAAATTTTAACTGGGTCTCATACGAGTAGGACTCTCTCGATATTGTTGTTGCATACGCAACCCAATGACCTAAGTTAGCAATATGGCACTATGCATTTGTTGAAGAATTTTGCATAAGTGTGTGCATGTATAGTATTAAGGTCTTGTTTATTGGGATATACCAAAGACCTAAGTTAGCAATATGGCATTATGCTACTTTGATATGATGTTGGTCCCCTACCATTTTCATATGGTGTAAAGCCCATACCAAGAACCAATTTTCCAAAGGAGGAATATGTCTTCTCCACCATGAATGGTGTGGTATATTAGTATCCATTATCCTATTTGTAAATTGTTAACAATTCCAAAGATGAGAACTTTTATGTAGTTGATTATAGTTTATAGGAGAATGTGGGAGAGAATCTGCTAAGTAGGGATAGGAGAGACTAACATGGAGTTTGATTCCCATTTCCAAGATTCCAAATGAAAGATTGAATGAATTGACATTGCTCTTGCCCACAAGTCTTTCTCTCAACTAGTGTTACCTGAAAACTTCTGCAATATCGAATCGATATAATATCTTATATTTTGCAATATTTTGAAGATATTAAGAGAAATATACAATACCTTAAAATACAAGATACAATTGTATGGCAAAACTTTGCTATTTTTCTTTCGTTTACTATGTAATATTCTTTTAATCTATTACATATTAGATCAATGTCAACACTATAGAGACGTAAATATAGATTTAAAAAAATAAAACTAACATATCATTTGCACATAAGTTTTTATAATAAATATTTACACGCTTTCATGGCAGACCACTAAAATCCCAACCCACTCTTATTATATGGTAGAGTGGGTTGGCCCAACAAATTCAACCCATTTTAATATCTCTAATTGATGGATTTAGAACGGTTGACATTCATGGGGTTACTAATCGAAAAATAAATAATGCTCTACCGATTTAAAAAATTAGGGTTAGGTGTGGAAGAATGAACTTATAACTAGAGCATGGTTGCAGTAGGCGCTAGTCGGGCGGTCGGGCAGCGCCTAGCGCCTAGGCGGAATCTAGGCGGGCACCAAAAAAGTTGAAAAAAATAGTGATAGACTTGTAGTTTGTCAATTTTAATGAGCTTGTTTTCAACATTCAATCAAATAACACATCTAAATAAATGAAATAATGATAATTTATAAGTCATAACGTCATAATAATATTAAAATCAATAATTAATGAAAGACGGCATCGGTCAAAAGCGAACAAAATCGGACAAAATTGGTCGACTCGGCCAAGTTAGCCGAGTTGACCGACTCGGCCGAGTTTCGCCGCCTAGGCGGCCGGCCCAGTTTTGGCCACCTTTAGGCCGCCAAAACGGCAAGGCTCGGTGCCGCCTAGCGCCTAGGCGGCCGAGTTTTGCAACCCTGAACTAGAGATGATCACAATTCGGTTCGAACTGAACCGGAATCCAAAAGGTTATGGTTTGAAAGCTATCGACTACAGTTCTGAACTGAAAAAAAATTAAAAAAAAATAAAAATTAATTATTGAATTTAGACTATTTTAAAAATAAAAAATATATCTAAAAACATAATAAGTTTCAATCCAGGTTATATCCCTGGTTTATGTTCATTTTTTCTGTTAACTTTTTTTGTACCTTATGCTATAAAAATTGTACTACATAATATTTTGTACAAAAATATCCCTACCGTTATAACTTCTGTTAACTTTTCACATTATTATTACCCTGCACATGCATACACAATAGTTTTTTTCTTACCTTCTTCAATGATAAGTTTGATTATATTTAGATTTTTTTAAAAAATAATTAGATTTAGATTTTAATTAATGTTAACATAATTATATATATTTTTTGTTTTTAACATAATTATATTTAGTAATTTATCGTTATTTATAATTCTTATTTAAATAATATTAATATGAATTCTACAATTAGGTATAATATATATATATATATATATATATATATATATATATATATATATATATATATATATATATATATATATATATACACACACTATCATTTAAAAAATATTTTAACATAACTAAATTTTTAACATTGAATATTAATATTGGGCATAATTTTTTGCGCATCGCGCATATAAAATACTACTAGTTTTAAAAATAAAGTTCAAACCAGAACTGAAACCTAAAAGGCTTCGATTATGATTTATCAATCATTTATTGAAACCTAAACCTGCAATTTGAAACCGAAATCGAACTGTGGTCATACTTACTTATAATTATCTACTTAAAATCATAAATAAATAAATATGCTAAAATTACAATCGTTTAAAATTAGACCAAATGATTATATTACCTCCACTATTACTAAAAAGAGGAACTTATAACTATCTACCTAAGATAAAAAAAATTGATGCCAAAATCACAAACCATTTAAAATTAGACCAAATGAAGATTTGACATGATTGAATTTTGGGGTTTCAATAAAATTAGATAATGTGATTTGATGTTAAACGACTTAAAACCATAGAGTTTCTTGAAGTGACAATGGTCCATATTTGTTAAAGAAGAGAAAAGACAATAAAAAAAATTTCCAAAGTTTAGAAAAGCCCAAAAGGCATACATACACAGCAGAGAAGATTAGCAGAGCACTTAAAGTGCCAAGAAAATGTGGCCACTTTGCATCGTTGCATTGATTGATTCAGAGGGAAACAGGGGAAGTCGGAGTTGGATTCGCTCCAAAAGCACTCTCTCTCTCTCTCCCTCTCTTAGCTTTTGAATTGGAACCAAGAATTCACGAGACATCCCTGAAATGTCTGCTTTGAATTCATCTTTCTCCGCCAAGCAACCCAACTTTTAGTTAGCATCAGATTATTAGCTAAAGACACTGCATTTTTCATCTTCTTCTGTTTTCCCCTTTTCTGGGTTGTTGTCGCCATGAAGCCTCCTCATACCCACCCTTATCTCCTTCAATCCTTCAAGTTTTTCATGGGATTTGCGGCCTGCAACAGTAGAGGTTTCTGACATGGAGCCCAGGGTTTGATGCTTCTTCTTCTTCTTCTTCTGCTGCAGCTTCAATCGGTGTTCTTGATGACAACCTCGGTGTCTTTCGTGGGAACATATGTTTCTGAATCAGTTCATGCATTTCTTGAAATCAATTCACACTTTCAGAAGGAAATCCCCCCCTTCTGACTGTGGGTTTTGACACTGCTGCAAAAAAAAAACAATAAAAATCTGATCTTTTTTTTGTTTTTGGTTTGTGTTTTATTGTGTTTTGGTTATAAAGAAAGAAAGATTGCTAGTTCTTCATATATAATGGGTGGCTATTGCTTCAATCCATTTCGGGTTCGATTGTGGAAGAGCAAAGGATTAGCAATCCCAGCAGCTTCATCGGGAAGAAGCCATCATCATCATCATAATCAGCAGATGAGTTCTTCTGCAGCAGACATGGAGACTATGGATAAGAGGAGGTTTGACAGCCTGGAATCATGGTCAATGATCCTGGAATCGGATAATGTGGAAACGTGGGAGGCGTCGAAGGAGGACCAGGAGGAATGGACGGCTGATCTGTCTCAGCTCTTCATAGGGAACAAGTTTGCCTCTGGTGCCCACAGCAGGATTTACAGAGGGATTTACAAGCAGAGAGCTGTGGCTGTGAAAATGGTGAGAATTCCCACTCACAGGGAGGAGACTCGAGCCCGCCTCGAACAGCAGTTCAAGTCCGAAGTCGCCCTCCTCTCCCGCCTCTACCATCCCAACATTGTCCAGGTATAAACGTGCACTCTCCCTGTCAGCTTAAACGTGTTTGTCCTGTCAGTTTCTTAAACGTGTAGTCTCACTGTCAGGTTAAACGTGTTTTGTTCTGACAGCTTATACTTGGTTTTAGTGTTCCATGTGTAGTGTTGAGCTTTGTTTGTCTGACAATCCTTAAACGTGTAGTCTTGCTGTCAGCTTATATGTGTTTTTAGTGTGATGTGTGTAGTGTTGGGCTTAGGTTGTCTGACATTTCCTTAAACGTGTAGTCTCACTGTCAACTTTTACGTGTTTTTAGTGTGCTGTGTATAGTGTTGGGCTTAGGTTACAATTCCATAAACATGTAGTCTCAGTGTCAATTTAAACGTGTTTGTAGTGTGATGTGTGTAGTGTTGGGCTTAGGTTGTCTGACATTTCCTTAAACGTGTAGTCTCACTGTCAACTTAAACGTGTTTTTAGTATGTTGTGTGTAGTGTTGGGCTTAGGTTACAATTCTATAAACATGGAGTCTCACTGATAGTTTAAACGTGTTTGTTGGGGGATTCCTTAAACGTGTAGTCTCACTGATAGTTTAAACGTGTTTGTTGGGGGATTCCTTAAACGTGTAGTCTCACTATGAGTCGACGTTATGTGCAGTTCATCGCGGCATGCAAGAAGCCACCGGTGTACTGCATAATCACAGAGTACATGTCACAAGGGACACTGAGGATGTACCTGAACAAGAAAGAGCCATACTCTCTGTCGACCGAGACGATTCTGAGGCTGGCGCTGGACATATCGCGGGGGATGGAGTACCTGCACTCGCAGGGCGTGATTCACAGGGATCTCAAGTCGAGCAACCTGTTGCTGAACGACGAGATGCGCGTTAAGGTGGCGGATTTCGGGACCTCGTGCCTCGAGACGCAGTGCCACGAGGCCAAAGGGAACATGGGGACTTATAGGTGGATGGCACCCGAGATGATTAAGGAGAAGTCTTATACTCGGAAAGTTGATGTCTACAGTTTCGGCATTGTGCTGTGGGAGCTCACCACTTCTTTGCTCCCTTTCCAGGGCATGACTCCTGTCCAGGCTGCCTTTGCGGTTGCTGAAAAGGTTACATTCTTAAACCCCAAAACCTTATTTTCTGCTAAAATTATCCACAAAAAGACGAAATTTCCTCACCCCTAAGCCTCCACACCCCAGCCCGACAAAACATTAGAAGGGTAAATCACGTGACTCAGCAGCCTAATAGGTGGGACAACCACTGTATGGTGCCCACCTTATTTTCCGCTAAATTTATCATTTTGTTTAATGTTTTAGCTGCTAATTTCCACTAAGAAAGCTGATCAGACTTAAGAACATAACATGCTTTGATCCTGTTTAACAGCTAATCCGTGTTACTTAATAACAGTTTAGGAAATAGGAACAGAATAGCATTCTAGCAGTTTTACTAAACTGCAGACATCCTAGCCAACAACATGCGGTTAAGAATGTCGCCGAGTACCTTTAGTCTGATGGCATCACTGTTCCTTTTCATAAGGTTTCAGGGTTCGAGTCCTATCCCGATCAGGGTTAGCATAACTGTTGAACAGATACTATGAATATGTTAACAGATGCATTCGAGAATGTTGTTCCATTAGACCATATATACCGAAAACACAACAGATCATCCTTACTGTGATTGTTGTTGCAGAACGAGCGGCCGCCTTTGCCTGCAAGTTGCCAGCCAGCGTTAGCGCACCTTATAAAGCGCTGCTGGGCAGCCAACCCGTCGAAGCGGCCCGATTTCACGGACATAGTCTCGGCGCTGGAGAAGTACGACGAGTGTGTGAAGGAAGGGCTCCCGCTCACCCTCCACTCGGGGCTAGTCAGCAGAAACGCCATCGTTGAACGCTTGAAAGGCTGCATTTCCACCAGTTCATCCATACCTGTACATGTCTGACTCTTCTATTAACAATAATATTATTAATTACCATTATAAGCTGTATATACCATACACTCCATGCTAGCTCTCTTTTTTTTTTTTTTTTTTTTTTTTTTTTTTTTCTTTCTTACATAACTCATAATGTTAAGTCTCAGATAAACTATGAATGGCTTTCTGGTGGCATCTTCATACAATAGATACATGCAGTTTCATATATATGTGTGTGTGTGTGTATATATGTGCTGCAACCACCAGACCATTCCTAGGAATTATATATGCACTAATGTCATGATTGTAAGCTATTCATTGTACATTTTGTTTAGTTAATTGCATGTAGGGAACCACTTTCAGTTCAAGATTTCAACCATAATATCAACAGTTCTGTCGTTTCGGGCTAAAGTAGATAGTAACTTTTGAGTGGGTCTTTGTTGACCGTCTGAATATGTCTTTGGGTAAAAATAAAATAAAACGAGCAAGATGATACAATATCGGCGATTTTATAGCTCTGTGTTAAGGCAAATAGTAACTTTTGAGTGAGTCTTTACTGGCCGTCTTCGGATTAAAATAAAATAAAAGGAGCAAGTGATACAATATTGACAATTTTATGGCTTTGTGTTAAGTTAGATAGTAACCTTTTGAGTGAGTACTCTTTGTTGACAATCTTGATTTGTCTTCGGGTTAGGATAAAATAAAAGGAGCAAGATGATACAATATTAACAATTTTATGGCTTCATTCGAAGGTAGATAGTTATTTTTCAACGAGAGTCTTTGTTCCTAACATACATGTTTTCAAGTTGGAAATAAAATAAAAGAGTTAATTCCAGCAATAGTCCTTCGACTATTGTAATTTTCCAAATTTAGTCCTCTTCTTTTAATTTGGACGAAATAAACCCTTGACTATCAGAATTGTTCCACCATTGGTCCTTCCGTTAACCAAGTGTTAAATAGGTGTTAAGTTAATGGGTAAAATGGTCCTTTCCATAACTAGCTCTCTTGGAGTAAAAGGGTCATTTCCATAGCTAGCTCTCTTCTTCTCCCAGGGGTAAAAGACGGCGGCAGAATAGATGCAATGAGGGACTTAATCCAAAGAAATTTTGAGTTGACTGAGATCTGATCTGATCTGATTTGGCATGGGAGAAGATATGAACTTGCAGTTGAAAGTTGAAACACAAGTAAGAGTAAGTAATTTAATGAAAACCAATGATGAGCTAGCTGATCACTTTGGCATATATAAACAAACAAACAGGTAGATCAGAGATGAGACCAACGAAGTGCATATGAGATGAAATTAAGGAAAGAATAATGTTCTGTCAAAAAAGAAAGAAAGAATAATGTTGAAATTTCCTAAATGCATGCATGCATTTATTATCTGTCTTATGCTTTAAACAATGCAGAAAATGTGTCTGATATGAATTCACACACACTTAATGCATATATATTATATAAAAACACTTTCATAGCTTCTGTAGCTGGAGGAGTAGCCATCTATAAACTAGAGAGCGAGGGAATTGATGGTTATCACCTTCATAGCTGCTGTAGCTCTCTTCTTCTCCTTCCAGGCCGGGGTAAAAGACGGCGACAGAACAGAGGGCAATGAGAAATCTCAACGGTGTCATTGGTCCTGGCCGGCCTGCTTTGCTTTATTATTTTGAAATCTCCAAGACACTAGTGCCGCCGGAATTTTTCAATGGCCAGAACAGAGGCTTCTTCCCCTTCTCCACTGCAGCGCCAATGAAGAAGAAGCATTAGCAGCTGGATCAGGATGCAACAATGGAAGTCAGCGAACAGCATCCTGAGGCGAGTGATACCCTTCCATCTCTGCGTCCCAAGGAGACCGCCCATGTGGTCCATTCATGAAAATGCATTCTGAACAAGGGATCTACAAGGCTTGGTGCGCCTGATATGAAACTAGTGGTCGTGCGTTTAACAATGTCCTCCATTTTCGGGCATTGTTTATTGTACAAGTTCGGAATCAGGTTTTGTGCACTGCCAACTTCAAACACGAAAAGGAAGAAGAAAAACTGAGAGAGTTCTGGGATTAACCATTTTATGAATCATTCAGAAGGGTATGATTGGAATGGGTTTTGCTTTGTTTGGTGCAGGTTGGAAGTGGTGGGGAAGATGGCAGGTTGGCAGGTACTAGTCCTTTAAATAGGAGCGGAAGCCATGCAAGAATCCTTTGAATTATTAATCATCATAGACCTGGCATTTATGGAGCAATCATCCTATATTTTGGGCTAAGCTAGAAGAGAAAGAAACTCAGTGAAGACGCCACATAAACCTAAGCTAAATGTGCAAGAAGAGAAACAATGGAGTTTTGGGCTGTCCATTGCGTGTAATGTATACATATATTCTACCCAAATCATGAAGAAGAAACACAGCAGAGAAAATGACCATTTTAGCCCTTCACTAACGGTCATCTAACTCTTAGTTAACGGAAGGACCAATGGTGGAACAATTCTGATAGTCAAGGGTTTATTTCGTCCAAATTAAAAGACGAGGACTAAATTTGGAAAATTACAATAGTCGGAGGACTATTGCTGGAATTAACTCTAAAATAAAAGGAGCAAGGTGATACAACATCAACAATTTTATAATTTAGGGCTAATGTAAATATATAGTAACATTTAAATGAGTCTTTGGTGACAAGTTTCAGCACATTTTTAGGTTAAATTAAAACAAGAGGAGCAAGTTAGATAATATAATATCAATCAGTTTATGGGTTCGAGGTAAGGTAGACACTGACTTTTGAGTGAGTCTTTACCGACAATTTCAGCATGTAACTATAACACATCGACAGACACAACTACACCAATAGTTTATTGAACTTAATATATTTAAAGCAAACATTTAATTTAAATTTTGAATTGTAAGGGGTAAAAAGTAGAAAGTATAGATTGGAATATATGTATAGTGACAAAGTCAACCTTAAAGTCTTGCTGGTTGGTCTTCCAGGTCAAGGTTGTCATCATGGGAAGACAGAGATTGGAAATTTCATAGTAGACTTAGTAAGAACTCTTGACTATTTCCCTTCTAAAAAACATGTCATAATCCCCTGCTTGCAATCAACCCATAATGATGTTTTAATTGACTATTTCCTTACTAAAAATAATTACTTGAGAATCAAAACGCGTTATGAGTATATAGTAACGTCTTTGGGAGAGTTGTTCAAATAAAACTCAACTAAATTAATCATATCTTACATGATTGGAAATGCATATCTTTTCTTAAACTAAAATTACTCATTAACTTTCACTTCCTAATAAAAAAAGGTCCTAAGATCAAGGCCATTTGTGAATTCTAGAAGGGTTTTTGCTGAGAAAAATCGGGTGACATGATTTTTTAACAGATGGAACAATATTTTTTTGGTGTTTTTTTCTCTAAAATTAATTTTTTTTTGTGAGCCTCATTTATTGAGAAGAAATAGGAAAAACGGATTGCAGGTGCGCGTTGGGCTCACCTACTACGCAGTGCACGTGTCAGGCGTGCAAGTAGCAATTTATTTATTTATTTATTCTTTTTTGTTGTCCCTTTTTTTTTTAATCTCTTTTTTTTTTTTCTCTTTCATCTCCTCTCTTTCCTACATGTAACTGACAAAACTCAACTCAAAAACCCAATAAATAAGGTTACTCTAAAAAAAATGCAATCCCCATGTGAAATTATTATAACTTAAGACAAGTTAATCGGCACAAGAATTCACTTCTCATTAATGAACATAGTTAATATAGCATACCCCGTCCCTACTTTGCAACTCTCATATAGCATTTAGCAATGGACATGCAATAGTGTAATCTCACATGTCACTTATTGTGTATCTTCTAAGTAGTAACTAGAGAATCAATAAAAGTCACGTGACGATAATATATATTATTAGGATAAAAATCAGTTTTTTTTTTTTTTTTTGTATGCATCTTTTTTTATTTTTTCAGTATTATAAGAGTAACTTGAATTTGAACCATATTTTTCTAATGTTAATGAAATGAAAGCTAGGCCAATCAAATATGTTAGGTGGTGTCATTTTCAGACCACAGAAAGGTGGCAATAAAACTACATATTGGCATTTACTTAAACTTAATGCCCTGTTTGGACTTCAAGAAATTTGGTTTACACGTTCCTTGCTTGGACCAAATCAAAGCCAAACTTCATTTGCTATAGTTCATATTACAACTACCTTTCTTGGATATAGCCATATAGGTGGATGATGGATGGATGGATGGATCTTTGTTCCTTAGTGAATCAAATTTGGGTAGGTTGTTGTTCGGCATGACGGAATAAAATCGGTTCAGTGAGATGTATTGATTTTGAAATTATCATTATAGTATATTCGGTCACTCTTTTAAACCTAGTATGTATCGCTTTGAAATTACCATTATAGTATATTTGACCATTATAATATATCTCGTCATTCTTGATTTATTGCATGGTGTCGACTAGTATACGATTTACCAAGTATTCGTTGCTATTCTGTTTATTTTTAATATATTATTATGTCATTTTTGCACTATATTCTTACTTAATAATAGGGGTTGACAGTTAATAAGTAAGCGTTGATAGTTTACCTTCATTAAGTAAATATTTACCGTAAAACCTTGTTCTCATCTGAACTCCCTCTATATATATAGGGCATCCCTATTAAGGGGTTGTGGAAGAGGTTGGGGTTCTTTGTCTCCATGTGTGGACTCCACAAAGAAAAGAAGCAAGCAGAAAAGTTGGCGTGGGTTACACATTCGCGCCCGATAAGTGCACGCGCGCATTTCAAGTTCCTTTTTTATTTTTTTTATTTTTTTTTCTTTTGCTAACATTTTGTTTTTTATTTTTTATTTTTTTTAACCTCATTCTCTCATTTTCTCTTTCCTAATCACACGTAAAAAAAAAAAAAAAAAAAAAAAAAAAACTCTTCAAAACCACACCAACAATCCAACATACATAAGCCATAACTAAGGAAAAATAACACTTTTTATTTTCAAATTATAGAAGAAAAAAACTAAGTGACAACGAGTATAATTGAAGAACGAAAAGTGTTATTTCCTAATAATTTCAATACAAAAACCCCGCAAGTCAAAACATAAAAAATAAATCGCACTAAAAAAACCATATATCACAAATCGACCTTATATTACGAGAATTATACTTCATACACTCGTCTCATATACGTCCATTATTGTAAGGCTGATTACGGTATGTTAACAAAGCTTCACATTAGGCAGATAATTGCCAAGAACGAAACGACAGCATTCGAGTACCACAAACGACAGACGCCGCATGTCGTACTCCGTACCAATCACCAGACAAATGTTTTAACGGCCACTGTTTGGACATGAAGATCAGCCACATCTTTCTGCAAATCCAAGAAATTTTTGTCGAAATTTTCATCAATAATTAGTTAATACGGATTAAGAATTTCCCCTTTTCTTTAAAATTTAAATCCCGACCGACCAATCACTCCGTACAGCCGGAAGTTCTTTTTTCCCTTTTCAAGACTGGCCGGCGGGGGCGGCGCCACCGCGGTTGACATTTTCTCAGACAGGTCATTGATGACAGAAGCCTTCACATATAGTCCAAAAATGGCAGATTCCTAACTGTATTCGCTTTAAAGACGAATTCCCAACCGAGTAAAATGCAGCTGTCAATGAATGAATGCAAAAATGGATTCACAGATTCAGGGAAAGTTCATTAATAAAACTCTAACAAAAGATTTATTCAAGAAAATTTCTTTTTTTTTTTTTTGCTTCAGAGTTGTAAGCACAGCACAGTAACAGGAGATGGATGAAATCATGAAAGGACTAAAATGGTGATGATTAAAAACAGGGTATATTTTACACTGGGTGAAAGGGTATTTTACAGACACCCTAAAAAAGGGAATAAGAAGAAGAAGAAGAAGAAGAAGAAGGAGATCACCATGGCACTAAGAGAGAAATCTTCAGGCCCAAACACCCCAGATTCTTTCTCCAAGAAAGCTCACAAATCTCCTAACAGCACCTCTCTCCTCACCATAACCATCTTCTTCTTCTTCGCCGCCATGGGTGGTGGTGCTGACAGGGCTCTCCTCCGCTGCCGGGACTGACTCACCGGATTCATCCTCATTTAGACCCACCTCAAGCTTCTTCTTCAACTCACTCCCAGACCCACTGCCACAATCTTTATTACCCTTCCTTCTTTCTCTCCTGCTCTTCTCTTTCTTGCTCTGCAGCCCATCTTCATAAGCATCTATGACTTGGTGTATGAGCTGGCGGTTAGGGGAGGAATCCCACCTCACCCAGAAACTCATGTAGCAGTTGAAGCAGTAGCAGTTGGAGGAAGGTGGGTGGCCGGAGAAGGAGGAGGTGGTGGTTGTCCTGGTGGCAGAGAAGTTCCCAGAAGGGCAAGAGATAAGATAAGCCAAGGCTTCCTGGTCTTCTGGGGATAGAGCAGCAGTGATGGCTAAGATTGCTGCTGGCAAGAAAGCTAGCTTGTCTGAAACCAATGGTGGAGATGGATGAACTGTGTTCTTCCTGTATAGCTTCTTCATGGCTGATGATGATGATGATGATGAGAGAGAGAGAGAAGATGTTGAAGACTTGAAGTTGTCTAAAGAGATAAATGAATGGGAAGTGTTTAGGGTTTGGGAAGTTTAAAAAGAGATGTTTTTGGGGGCAGAATGAAGGGTTGATAACATTGGGTGGCTCTAGCCTGTGAAGCAGTGCATGGCAGACTTTTGGGTCAGCACTTATGTAGGGCAGCAGGGCACAGTCTGATAAATTATCAAAACTTCTTTCCCGGATTCTCACCTTTCAAAGTCTAGCTTTGAAATTTGAACTTTCAAGTCATATAATCCCTAGGAAACTGTAAATTATCATTAAAAAATAGATTACAATAGCCTTATATTGCTATGGGCTTGGACAGTTGGGCCCAATGGGCTAACCTTATATTGCTATAACCTCCCCAAGATCACACAGTGATAAAGACACAAACTTTTCAAGCAAAAAACATAAAAACAAGTCATCAGGCACTTTCACAGTTTCACAATAAGTTGGCAAAAGAAGGATTCTTCCATTGATTCTGTAAACAAATTCAATCAGAGTAAGATGAAAACAGTTCTCTCACTCACAAGAGGTGTGTGTAAACCTACAAGATTTAGAAGATGTAAGTGTTACAGGCCGAGAGGATTGGGATCGTGTCACAAGCCGGTGTCCAGGACTCGAGGGACGAGCCGGAGGTAACGAGGATGTGGCAGGTCAACCTATGTTTGTAGACAAGACTCAAGAGTAGAAACAGAAAACTAAAGAATAAATTTATAAAGTAACGTTGAAGAGTTCTGGAGTTCTTCTTCTCCCAAAATGTCATTAGCCCAAGAATTCTCAATGCCTCCACAACAAGCCTGCAGTGGCTTTTATATATGCATGAAAGTAACGTTAAAATTTCTAAAAAAAAAATAGGAGGACTAAGTTATTTGAGTAAGTCTTCATCTCCTTAATCATGCAAGAACTTCCCTTCTTTTCCATCTCTGGTATTGCTTGCCTATAAACGTATCAGTAAGTTCAAGCAGTGCCATGATAGTTTTTGGCTGTTTGCTTCATATCATCTAGTTGTGCAATGACATGTTCCAGTTTTTGAGAACAGATTTCGTTAGATATTCTTGGGACATAGTCACACTTCTCAAAAGGGCGATACTCACAGGCACTTTTGATTTCTTCTCGCAGTGTCACCTGAATGTCCTATTGTGACAAACAAATTACTGGGATCTCAGGTATCAAGTAGAACGCAACCTCAAACTGTTCAAGAATGTTCAATAAATACAGAAAATCACGGCATAAAAGACCACAGATAAAGGCTGTATTTCTCATTAGACACTAGACTTGTCAGCACCAAAAAACAAACAATGATTAGTATACCATTCAGACACGCTTAACAAATACGTGAACAGAGTAATTAACAGCCGGCATTGGCATTGGCATTGGCATTGGCATTGGCATTGACATTGGCACAATGTTCATGGGAGAAAAGAAGGTCAATATGAGAAAGAACAATATTACAGAATGAAAACTTCTTATATTATGATGTCATGGATATATTCAGATTCATAATTTTTCAATATATGTAAGTTAACACCACCTGCTGGACATAGTTCCAGTTCATATATACAAACAAGTCTTTTAATTACTAAACGTCTATAACTTTGGGGGAAACCTAGCCAAGTTACTCAGGTTGTTGATATAGTAACCACACGGATACAAGTTTGACTCCCAGTGGGAGTGGCCTATTAGCCTACTTTGTTTGAGTCGGTGTTTATAACTAAACTGGTTTAACTCTATCTTTTGCCGGCTAGAATCACAAGGCGAGGTGGGGTTTATCCAATGCACATCCTCAATAATGGCTTGAGGATTTCCCTCGTCATCCAAAATGTCTATAACTTTTCTTAATCCCCCCTTACTTTCTCCTTTTTCTTCAGATATTATCTCTTGTAAACCACACAATATGATATATTATCTTAACAAAAATCACATTCAAGCTCACGATTCCACACTACAATAAAATAGCAACTTTCAACACAATTTGTGAGGCAATTTCCAGATCCAGGTAGATATAAGGTACAGGAAGAATTAAGCGAAGAATGTTTTTCATACCTTGATGAGCTGCATGAACTCGCTGCAGTGATTGTTAATAAGATCCTTTCTGGGGCCGCTAGGGTTCGCCAATTCCTCCATCACTCCTCCAGTCAGCTCCAAAGCAGTAATTATCCTCTGCAATTACAATAACCGACTTGTTACCACACATTCTAACTTACTGTTTTCTGCCATTTTCAGTATGAAGGTTGTGCATTACCTTCTCAACATTCTGAAGCCGTTGTAATGAGGTGTTCTGACTTTGTGAATCCATCGTGCTCTGTATGTAGCAAGGACCGAACCAAAATTATATGCAAAATTTGTAAGAATAATGCTTTCTTCCCCAAATTTGTCGAATCGCCAACTATTATACCATACAAAAATTTCGAATTAGGGTTTAAGAATTACGATGGATCAGTCATCACTCATCAGAGTCGGAGAAGTAGAACTAGTCTTTTCTATTTATTTTTTTTAAATTACGGGTTATTGTTTTGGGTGACTAGAAAAAAAGATAATGTGATCCAGAAATTTAAATTCATGATTTCTGTCAAAAATAACCCGAGTCAAGTTAATCTGTTGACAATTGACTCTTAATAGAAGCAATTAATTTGTTGAATTTGTAAGTATAAATTTACAAATTTGACTCTTAATAGAAGCGGTTAATCTATTTACCTTTGTAACTATAAATTTACAAATTTGACTTCTAATGGAAGCGGTTTATTGACCTTTTTCACTCTCGCTAATTTTGTTGGTGTAAATCACGAGGTGTTCCGAGTCTTTCTCTGTCAGTCTTTCCCGTCTGTTCCGAGAGGTCCCTGTTTGCTCCGGGAAGCATGAGAACTGGCTCAAGAAAATTTGTTACTTGTGAGAATCGAACTCAAGTTATCTCTAAGATCGTCCCCCCACTCCCGCTAATTTACTTTTTTTTAAAAGTGTATACTGTCTCAAGTTCATGATAACATATGGTAATTCTTAAAAACTAAATCTAAAGTCCTAAATATTGTTGTATTCCAATCCAACCAACACTTTGCCTCTTAATTGGGCCGACTCGGTACGAACAGGGATTAGTCTAAATATGGTACGGACTTAAAGGTACCTCCTATAGTTAAGGCCTTTTCAGACACCTCGTGGTCTAACCAAAAAAATTATTGTTGTATTCCAAATGAATATTACTCAATTATAAAATAAAATACAATAAACATAGTACACATGGTAGGAAACCATGTTCAACATGACAAATATTCCAATCCATTATACAAGTTTCAACAGGTACTAAGGACACAATTACATTACAATGATATAGAAGTCCAATATGAATAATATTTCATCTTCTATAAAGTTTCCTGTTACAGACTGGAAAAAATAGTCTCAGTTAATGAGGTAACAAATTAGTGTTTCTACTTCTTGATACACACTATACAAATTACAATTCCCTCAACACGAAAATCACACGTCGACTGAGAATGAGCAGCGTGGGTATATAGTACAAGGCCAAACAGAAGGAGCTTGCCTTTATGGAGTGCAGCGATTTGATGTCAATGTGTGTAGATTGTGGAAAGGTCATTACGACCGGTTGGAGTTCACTGTGCTCGAATGACCTCCCTTTGTCTGATTTGTTTTTGAATCGGGATCAGCTTCACCATCGTGAGCTTTCAAACCCAAACTCAAATCCAATGTGCTCTCGTTTAGATCATGGCGTGCTGTGCCCGCCTGACATGTATGGCAATTCACAAATTTGTAATTAGAAATGGATCAATAGCTGCCAATATGTTTTGACTAGCAAAACCGTGTGTCTCGAGTCAGTGAGAGTAGTTGCGAATAATCTAAGATTCATAAGCCAGAAAATGAAAGCAATCACCTCACGCAGAATATGAAAGTCGTGCCAAATTTTGGTTCAGTAAAAGGAGAAGATGAAAGAGCAGGCAAGCATATTGGGCATTTTTGCAGAACAACACGAGTACACAAAAGAAAACCATAGTTTAGCACAATTACAATCTGTGTTTTAAACCTTTTTTGTTCTCCATTTTTTTCCTTTTCTGAAACTATTTTCTCGGGAGAAATGGGATGGATGTCCTAAAGTACCTGGCTTTTCTCCATCGGGGCATCATTGATGTCTGGTTTTTCATCCAAACCATCACTTGGGGTGGTCTTCTCTGCATCCATTTCAGTTTCAATTGGATTGGCTTCATCCTCGGCCATTTCTAAGGACTCATTATTTTGCTCTTCAAGCAAAACAATCTTTGCCAAACATCCAAAAGAAATAAACAGCAAAAGGAAAAACATCATCATTTAACAGAACAAAGACATCGATAATTTTTACCAAATACAATACTTGAACAGTAATCAAACAAATTGAAAATATTTTTGTTAGTTTTAACAGTTATCATCTTGTTCTCAGAAATTCATGCGTCATGACAACTACAGAAGTAACTTTCCTATTTGTCAGATAAGATAAAATCATACTAACGACCCACCATCCATATTGTTTCCCTTAGTCCACAGCCACAAATCTTCACACAGAAATATGTTATATAAAGAAGACAAGCACAAGAAGATATATAATATATAACCATGGACTTGAATGATATCGATAAGCAAACCCGAAGAGCTAACACTAAACTCTTTGAAATCAACATTTGTTACTTAGCAAAGTTAGCATTCACAAAATACAACAATGCAACCCTAACCATCATCATAACCAGGTGATAAAACACTATCGCGAAGTGAAATACGAAACCAAAATGAAGGATGTCAGAACCAAATCATGTGAATCTCAACATTTTCATTGCCTATCATACCCTTTCCTTGGCCTAAATGTTTCATAACAATTGTAAGGTGAAATAGCAGGATTGATTAGAAATTTGACATCTTTTAAGAGAATAAACATTCAAGCAGATCACTGATTCTCAAAATGAGAGTTTGCATACCAAAATGGAATGCTCTTTTAATCCAAAACCAATTTGAAACCCCCAAATTCTCAAATAATATTTACACAACAGGATTTATACATTCATCCCAGATTCCCAGGAAAGCTATTCAAGTTAACTCCAGTTTTACCAGGTCAAAATTAACTTTCACCTAAAAATTGGAAGGTCTAGAAAACACACAATTCATTCTCAGTATACCAATTTGATTACCACAAATCGAAAACCCTAGCTCACTTCAATACCAAATTAAACCACATATAATCCTCCCATCAAGTCAATCCCCAACTCAGGATAAAATTGAGCTCAAAACCTAGACAAAGAAACGCTTTTCATTATTACAGATGTATGGTTAGATACACCGCCATGGCGGCACACTATACAAAGGTAGAGCTTGGAACTAAAACTGAATTGCCAGAAAATTACCGGAATATACTTAAATTTCCGCTTGGGCAGCTCGTCTGCAACGACGTCGTCTTTGGCAGAGCTCTTGGAGTTGCCATTCTTATCGGCGTCGCCGCTGCCGTTGCCGTTATTCTGGCTCGGAGTGATCGGCGTCCACTTGAGAAGCAAGAGGCGAGAGCCGTTAATTTCGCTGTTAGCAGCGGCACGGTGGTGGTGGAGGTTGCTGCTGCCGGAGCTCGGCGGCTTCACGTGGACCCACTTCTTCCTCCATTTCCGGACCCGACCCGTGAACACCGTCGTCGGCCCGTACCGAGACGACGTCCGGCCGAATCTGGCGCCGACTCCCTCCATCAACTGCGGCGGGCGAAATCTTCGGCTTCGCGTGCCGTCCCTTCAATTCCTTGTATTTATAGTTTGTCCTTCTAGAATATTTATTTATATTTACTGACATATGAGTAGGGATGTCAATTTTGCCCGAACCCGATGGGCCAACCCGATAAAAACAGAAATCGACAGGGCTATGGCCCGAACGGGCTAGTCCGAACGGGCTAGCCCGATAAAACACATTAGCCCGACGAGTCCAAAACTGATTAGCCCGAAGCCCGATAAGGCTAGCCCGAAATTAAAAGGGCTAACCCGACAACCCGAACTATTGAAAGCTATTCTTTATTATAGAAGTGATGTGAAACCTAACATACATGAAATAATTATTATAATTAAAAAGAAATAAATAAATATATATATATATATATATATATATATATATATATATATATATATATATAATTTAAATTAAAACTTAAGTTTTTAGTTTTTTAAAATTTAAAATAACATTAATTTAATATTTTGATTAAAAATTAATGAGGACGGGATTCTTCGTTCCTGTCAAATTCTCCGCGGGAACGTAGATAAGGACTATTTTCAATTTTTCAATTTCTCGTTGAGGACGGAGACGGGGAGTATACTTCCCGCCCCGCTCTGCCCCGACTCGTTATTATTTTGACTCTAAATATGAGCACTCACTTTTAGTTTCTAATATTAGTTCAGATTGTTCAATCCGCCCAATTAACCCGACAACCCGAAGTTTAGGGTTAGGGCCAAACCGAACCCGAGAATAAAATATTAATTAATCGATTAGCCCGAACCGATTAGCCCGACAACCCGACAGGATTAGCCCGAAACTGAGTGGGCTGGCCCGATTGACATCCCTGCATATGAGCCTATGAGTATTCGGAGTATATGTTTAATATTAAATTTTTAAATTAATTATTCGTAATTTTTTAATTTTTAAATTGTTATCATCTTTGGTAAGTCGACAACGATCGCCTGCATGCGACTCAGGTTAACGGCGATAGGAACTAGTTTCCCCCCCTTTGGTAAGTTAAATATGATTCTTCAACTTTTAAAATTTAATATGTTCCTCCTGAAAGGACAACGGGTGGTTAAATTTGATAGTTAAAAATTATGGGTCATTAATTTGGACCACGAATAGTAACAATTTAAAAGTTAAAAGACTATGAGGTCAATTTGAAAGTTTAGGACTAAATATCACAAAATTATTATGTGTGTGATTCGATTAACGAGGCTTGACCGAATTTATTTGTAATTCAATTTTTTATAATATTAAATATAGTATAGTATTCAAAAATTTATATATTTAAAAACTACACTGAAAGTACTATTAAACACACACAAAAAATAAGTAAAAAAAAAATTAAAAAAAATAAACAAAGAAAAAATAGTTGGTTTGACCGATAAATAGTAAATAAGACAGATAAAATGTGACTGAGGAAGTATTTATTTTAATGATAGAAACCGCAGAAAATACTTGAATGGGTACATTAGATAAAATGTAAATTGCATTAAGAATATCATGTGAAATAGTGTGGAAAAAAAAATTAAATGCATTTGGCTAGATTGGAAATTCAAACTTTTTTATTTGTAGTACTATGACCTCTCATTCGGCAAAGCATAAAAATGTCATTGAGCTAAAACTATTTGATAATATGCAAACTAATGTACTTTAAATACTCAAATTATGTAATTCACACACACAAATAATATACTTTTAGTATATTAAAAATGTTTTTTTTTTTTTAATTCATGGTCCACACAACCAATTGTTATACCATGTTCCATGGACCAGGATTCATATTGTATTGTGAATTTTGGTCCAAAAATTACGTGTCTGCAGTTAATAAATTTTATACCTGCAAAGAAATTAAGACAAATCATCGCAATGCTAATGACGAACAGGCCATCACCGACAACATCATGTGGAGATGCCTGCGTGAGGCCAAACGAATCGTAGAGGTAGAGGTTTACGCATGTTTTAAGGGAGGGGAATAAGGTGGCAGACAAGCTGGCCACGACGGCACTCGCGCATCAGCTGGGTTTTCGTACTCTTTCGGCAGCACCCCCGAATGTAGAAGAAGCAGTCAGGTTAGATTAGCTTGGGGCGTCAACCCCAGACAGATATGAGTTTCTTTGGGTTTCCCCCTCCACTATGAAGAAAAAAAAAAGACAAATCACATGATAATTACAGACATATAACATGATAATTACAGACACATAACTGTAACTGTATGCATAAAATATGTTAACTGCATACACATAAAATGTTGTGTCATCAATTTGTTTGTAGATACAAAAATGATTAACTGTAAGTATAAAATCTGAATGTTATTTTTAGGTCAGAATTCATAATGTAAAGTAAATCATAATATATACATGGTATAATTTGTTTCACATGATTGTGTGAATCATGGTCTATGAAATAATGATTGATAATTTGCCTCGAGAGTTTTTATGCTTCGAAGGGTTTCGAAATTGGGCTACAAATTTAAGTATTGCAGGTCCATTAGAGCGTTGCTGGGCTCCATCTATTCGTAGTTGGGCTGAAAATTTTCGATAGGACAATACATATATAAATGCATAAGATTAGGGTTTCCATAGCATAACGCATCGAGCATCATCACTCTGCTTCACTGCAAATCTTCAATGGCGGCCACTCAGCAGAAGAAGAAGAGTCCCCGTAACCCTGAGCTGATCAGGGGCGTCGGAAAGTACTCGCGCTCCAGGATCTACCACAAGAGAGGGCTTTGGGCCATCAAAGCTAAGAACGGCGGCGCTTTCCCGCGCCACGACAAGAAGCCGGCGGCGGCAGCGGCGGTGGAAAAGCCGCCCAAGTTCTACCCCGCCGACGATGTGAAGAAGCCGCTCGTGAACAAGCATAAGCCGAAGCCGGCTAAGCTCAGGGCGAGCATCACTCCGGGAACCGTTCTCATCATCCTCGCCGGCCGGTTCAAGGGCAAGAGAGTCGTGTTCCTGAAGCAGCTGCCGTCCGGTCTGCTTCTCGTCACCGGGCCGTTCAAGATCAACGGCGTTCCCTTGCGGCGCGTGAATCAGGCGTATGTGATTGGAACGTCGACCAAGGTCGACGTTTCTGGGGTCAATGTGGACAAGATTGATGACAAGTACTTCGGTAAGCAGGCTGAGAAGAAGAAGACGAAGACTGAAGGAGAGTTCTTCGAGTCTGAGAAAGAGGTTTGAACTTCGTTTATTCTTATCCCTCTTTTACACTGATTCGTTTAAGATTTTTTTAATTTAATTTTTCATAATTTAATTTGGTGAGTCTTGAATTAAAGATGTTTAATTCAAATTTTTATAATATTAAGTACACTTTCATGTGTCTGTTTTGGTTAATTAGGTACTAAAGTTATTTTGAATTCAATTTGAAAGAAATTAAGATTTAGTTTGATTAATGAATAGTAAATAATACATTAGTGTTATCTTATGCTTGTGTTCTGTGTATATAGGAGAAGAAAGTGATTCCACAGGAAAAGAAAGATGAGCAGAAGGCTGTGGATGCTGCATTGATCAAAGCCATTGAAGCGGTGCCGGATTTGAAGGCTTATTTGGGTGCAAGGTTCTCGCTTAAGGCAGGCATGAAACCTCATGAGCTTGTCTTTTGAATTAGTGAAATATCAAAACCCGATTTTGTTTAGTTATGTTGTCTTGTTCTATTAAAGCTTTGGTTTTGCCTGTGACAGTCTTCTTAATTTAGAGAATGCAAACAGATTTTCTTTGCTGATCACTTTACTGTCTTGTTAATCAGTAATTGCTTAACTATGTGTCTCTTTAGCCTTTTGATAAGGGTTGAGCATGATATAGATATCGAAATTTGATTCGTTTTCTGAGTTTGTGTTATGTTATGCATGACTCACTATTTTGTCTTTGGTGTTGTAATTTGATCTGTTCTCTGAGCTTGTGTTATGTTATGCATTATTCACTTTTTGTCTTTGGTGTTGTATTGATGGAATGTGAAATGAAGTAAAATTTAGAATGAGTAGGGCTTGGAACCGAGACTTCCAAAAAGGAGGTAGCAGCTGCATAGTGGCACAAGGGACATGGTTTATAAGGGGTCTTTTAGATTGATTCACATTGTATGTAAAGCGAAAGGAGGTAGCTATATTGGTATATATTTCTAGGGGGTTTAACACTTTAACTTGCCTAAGTTTATGTGATCTATTTTGGTATTCTGTTAGGGTTGACGGGTTGTACTACCCTGTGATTGTTTCTACGATTTCTTAGAAGGGATCTCTAGTTGGACATGTTCTTTCACTTAGTTTACCTTCTCACCTTAAGGTAAAGTATATTATGACAATGCAGTTCTGTTGGTGTTACTGCTCTCGTTTTTCTTGGCTGATATATTGTATATTATACACAAGTAGAAAGCCTTGTTCTATAACCTAGGGGGTGTGGTTGAGTGGAAAAGATTCATCCATCCTTAACCTTAGTCAAAGGTTTGATCCTTAGTTTTGGGAATGGAGTGACCTTAAATCTCTAGGCCAGTTGTCCCACTCAAAATAGGTGCTTACAATTCAGCGAGGGGATTAGTCACTGTGTTTAACTATGGAAACTCTAGGAACACCCAAAAAAAGAAAGCTTTGTTCTTAATAATTGGAACATATTGATGATGCGCTTGCTGTTGGGATTGAATGCCCTTTCGTTGTTCCGAAGTTTTCTTGGCAGAAACCTGTGTAGTATTCATATCTGCTTGGTTTGTGCCCTGCATTTAAAAGCAGTAAGGTTCTATATAAGCAGGGTTCTGTTCCTTTGAAAATTCTGATTTTCCTAACCCATATAGGCAGAGTAAGAGTGACATTTTTCGTTTGTCCATATAATATTTACATTTGATAATCATATGTCTTAAGGTTTCAAGTTTGTCCATATAATATTTACATTTGATAATCATATGTCTTAAGGTTTCAAGTTGCCCAAGAACGTAAACGTTATAGAATGGAACGGTTTGTTTTGGGTTTACATTAACACTTCACCAAACAAAATATTCGTTCAACTGCCGCTATGAGAAAAGGTCTCCGGAACTAATAGAAAATTATATGGTGCTGCAGTTAATACTCTTAATCGTCCCTTGAGTATGTCATAAGTAACACATTAGTCATCAACTATCAATTTTTTCAATTAAGATTTCAAGTATTCAATTCTTACTCAATAAGGTCAGTCACCTTATTAAGTAAGACTAAAATGTTCGCATGGATAGCTTAGTTGGTCACATGAGTGAAGTTTGGGAGCAATGTCTAGGATCGAGATTTGCTTCACCAGCGACAGTGTAGTAGCAATTTCTTAAAGTGAGGGGTTCCTCGTGTAAGTAAATGTGAGGGGGTTCCTTGTGTGTAGTAAACCTTTCAAATTGCTTTGTTGGGTCAGGACATGAGAAGTTCTTGGGAAGTTCTTGGGATTTGGGGATTCAACCTTTTGGAACAAAGGTTGAATAGTTGAAAATGATAACATTGATAGTTGATGAATGATTTTGGGTATTAATTTTATCTTATGAGTAAAGTTGTTCTCTTTTTCTTTTATATTTCTTAGTAATCACTATCACTATCTAATGGTATGCATGGGGTAAATCTTTTTGCAATAATAATCATGTAATAGCCTGAGACCTCTTGTATAATAGTTTGTAAATTGTATATAGAAAGGAAATCACATTATGAAGACGGGAAGACCATGTACAATGGATTTGACAGAAATGATGTAACTCGGACATGAGTATAATTTTATTAAGACATTCACAGCCTTATTTTGGTTTATATAGTTGCTATTCTTCAAACGAAATGTTACTTTTCGTAATGGTCACGTTTCATAGAACCTTCATATATCTGCCAGAATATAATGAGATTTATAGTGCGTTGTGGCCTTGTCGGATCGGAGATGGACGGGACCTTCAACATTGTAAATATCACCATCATCATCATATGGTGTCGGGATAGTGATGAAATGTAGAATGCATCTACATCACGTTAACTAATAGGAAATTTCTTATAGTGAAGCATAATTAATTCTGGTATCTTAATTCTTAACATTCTTTTAATAAAATTCGTAACATCATAATGCGATTTACTTTAAATATCGAGACTTATAAGTACTTTCTCAAAAAATAGTTACGAATTTCTCTCATTATCAAAAAAAAAAAAAATCAAGAAAAACATGGCAAGGAAACTAACAAGGCAACAATAATATGCAAATAATAGCTGTGAGTTTTACTTGTCATTCAAAAAATACCAAGGAAAAGCATGACAAAGAAATTAACCTTGCACTCTGAATTTTTCTTGTCATCCAAAAAAAACATGACAAGGAAACTAATCATGCATACCCTTCTGATAATAACTATGAGTTTCTCCGTCATCCAAAAAATACCAAGAGAAACATGACAAGAAAACTAACTGTGCACACTCTAGGATAATAACAAGAGAGATTCCCTAGTCACAAAAAAAAAAAAAAAAAAAAAAAAAAGAGTAAATACCTAAAATGGTCCCTCGACTATAGCTAAATTCACAAATCGGTCCTCAACTTTCAATTTCAATCAATTAAGTCCTTAACTTTGCAATTTTGACACGATTTGGTCCTCCATCTATTTGACCGTTTATTGACCGTGATCGACGATCTCCAGAAGAATGTTCAGCTCTCGTTGGAGCACGTGGAGGCCTACAGGATGACATTGCACCGGTTCGGAAACACGTCGTCTTCTTCGCTCTGGTACGAACTCAACTACATTGAATCCAAAGGGAGGATGAAGAAAGGCGAACGGGTCTGGTAGATTGCTTTCGACAGTGGATTCAAATGTAACAGTGCGGTCTGGAAATACAACCGGAACCTTAAAAAACCGACGATGGACCATGAAATTACATATATATCCTCAAAAATCACAGTCAACAAACGGTCAAATAGACAGAGGACCAAATTGTGTTAAAATTACAAAGTTAAGGACTTAATTGGTTGAAATTAAAAGTCGATGACCAATTTGTGAATTTAGCTATAGTCGAGGGACCATTTTGGGTATTTACTCAAAAAAAAAATCATGGAAGACCAACACTGCACACTCTTAGGTAATAACTACGAGTTTCCATCGTCACCCAAAAAATCAAGGGAGAACATAGCAAGGAAATTAACTGTGCACACTCTCAAAAAGTTTCTCTCGTCACCCAAAAAACTAAAGAAAAACATGATAAGAAAACTAACAATGCACACTTTCAGATAATAACTACGAGTTTCCGTTGTGATTAAAAGACAAGCTAGGGAGAACATGGGAAGGAAACCAAGAAAGTAAACAAAAGCTAAGAAAACAAGAGTAGAAGTTACACCGGGCGTGACAAGGCTCTTAGGTGGGTAGCTTTTTAATTGTGGTAGGAAACTGCGACGAAAGTCAAGAAGTGAAAGTACAACAAACCAATTAAAACACATATAAAGTAGAAACTTTGCTTAATTCCTTGCCTAACGCCCACTCTATCCCCACCCCAAACAAGAAAAAGGAAAAAGTTTGCCTTAATTAGTTGCATGCTAGCTCGCTGAGTATTAATCACTGAACATACATACTGTGAAACAGATAGCAGAGATCGACGAGATGAGGACGCGGCGGCAGTGGAGTGTTGTGACGGCGGTGGTTCTTGTGGCGGCGGCGGCGGTTGTGGGAGGACAAGAACATCATGTGGTGGGAGGGGACAAAGGATGGGAAGTGTCGAATGATATTGCTTCCTGGTCCGCCGCCAGAATCTTCAATGTTGGTGACACTATCTGTAAGTACTTCAATGTTAAATTACCTAAAACATCTCTTTAGTGAATGAAAAAAAAAAAGTTTCATACTTTGAAGACTTTTTATTTTTTATTTTTCATACTTTTGGTTTAATTTCTTGAGTATTAATATACCTATCTCATTTTGATACTTAATTATCCATTTTTTCACTTCAATCGGGTCATTTTGATCAATATTCTAACTAATTTTAACCAAAAGTCTTACATGATAAACATACATGTGAGTTGTTTGGATTTAAACAACATGCAACATACAATAGATCGAATATATTGATTTTAGGGTTAGTGTTGATGAAAATCAAATAAAATTGGCAAAAAAAAATTCTAATTGTTGAAGGATTAAAAAAAGGGACAAAACTCTTTTCACAAAACAAAAATGAAAAATTAGTCAGTTTTCTTGATTTGAGCTGATCAATTTAGTCATAAGTGAATTTTGTCTTGAATTTCTCATCTAGAAAGTAACACTGAACATGGGAAGCAATAACACGATATTTTGGGGGTCCAAATCATATATCTAAAAATAATAAAATTGAGTTAATTCCAGATTTTCAGTAGAGGTCAATTGTCTTGGTGACAATTTTAAATTAAGTCCCAAATTATTGTTTTTGTTATTTAGCATCCCAAATTATTATTTTTTGAGACTTTTTTATCCTTCTGATGACTTTTTCGTAAGACCCTATTTTAAGAAATAGTATTTTCGTCTCTTTAATTTTTATTTATTTAATAAAAAATTCCACTTTTCCCGATTTAATTGTTTATTTGTTCTTTTCCTTTCGGATAGCCGGTTCTTTCTTGCATTTTTTTCCATTCCCTTCATCTCCCGTCACCAAATTCCTCCACCCATCCATCCATCAGCAATTACCTGTTTTTCCAACGGATGTTAAATAGCAAAATGAAAACGGTAGTCTGAGAGTCTGAGACTAAATTTGGAAATTGTCATCAAAGACAGTGGACCTCCGCTCGCTAGAATTAACTCGAACACAAATATTTGTGTTAATCAAGTTTCATCTACTCCCACTTATTACTCCATTTTTTTACCTCTTGATGATGTGTCATGTTTTGATTGATTAAAAGAAACACCACTATTTTTATTCATACATTCACTTTTGTCTATCCAATAAAATTTGTACATATGACGGGAGTTCTTAGCGCATCCTTAATAGATTGGTTTTTTTGCACAAGAGTTAAGAAACCATGTAGGACAGAGATGAGGGAGAGAGAAGAAAAAGAAAATAAGAAAAAAAAAAAAAACAAAGCAAAAATAATGACCGTGACAGGAAATAGGAAACAAAAAAGAAAGACTATTAATGCGCTGACGCCTGACAGCATCGGCGTGGTGTGGTCCAAAATAAAACAAGAGATAGAACCCACATTTACGAAAAAATCTCTATTCTTGTAGGATGAACTCTCCCCTTTCTCTCCTCCACCTTATCATTTTTTCTTTAAAACTTGTGCACAAACCCCTTATTGGAGTTGCTCTTATACATCGTCAAACGCGACCGAGTTAATAAACGTAATGATTTGTTGTGGAATGGAACAGGGTTCACATACTCGGCCGCACAAGAGAGTATCGCGGAGCTAGGAAGTAGGGAAGAATACATGTCCTGCGATCTCTCCAACCCCATCAGAATCTACACTAACGGCATAGACAAAATCCCCCTCGACGGAGAGGGAGTTCGGTACTTCGTGAGTGGAAACCTACACAGCTGCAAAAATGGCCTCAAATTACCCCTCACTGTCCAATCTTCACCCAAAACAAATGCGATTTGGCCATTGGTCCTCCCCGCAGATGCGCCCACTGCACCTTCTGCTTCCACACGCCTCGCTACTGGACTCACCACCGTTTTGCTATTTCCTCTTTTACCTTTACCTATGTTTCTCTAATCAATCATTCATATTTAGTGTTGTATGCATAAATCATAATATTCTCTCTGTCTCATTTTATCCGTTTTACTTCCCTTTTTAATTTGTGTCATCTTTTTAAAATTGAATATTACCATCATTCTACTTTTCCTAATTTATCCTTACGAGTTTTGCTTTCTTTATTGTTTTTAGAGTTAATTCCACCGGAGGTCCCTTGTTTTTTGTGGTAATTTCAAATTTAATTCCAGACTATCATTTTTGCCATTTTACATCCCAGACTATCGTTTTTTGGATACTTTTAGTCCTCATTATTTTGTCTATTTTTAGTAAGGACATTTTTGTCTCTTCATATTTTTCTTTTGTTATCTTTCCGACTTCAACCAGTTTAATTGGTTTAGAACTATACTAAAAATTGGTTGAAAAATATGGTTACTACAAATCAGAGATTACCTAAAGTTCTAAACCAATTAAACTGGTTGAAACAGAAATAATAACAAAAGAAAAATATGAAGAGACAAAATGTCATTATTAAAAATAGAAAAAATCATGAGAAGGACTAAAAGTGTCCAAAATACAACAGTCTAGAATGTAAAATGACAAAAAATGATAGTCTGTGATTAAATTTGGAATTGCCACTAAATACAAGGGACCTCCGGTGAAATTAACTCTTGTTTTTATTTCCAAAAGTGAAAAAAATGATGAGTATAATTTGAAAACACATTATATTTACTTTAATTCCTTAAAAAGTATACAAAAAATAAATATGACAACTAATCCCGGACAGAGGGAGTCTATATATATATTTCAGCATCGATCTGTTATGTATCCAATTATTCCCGCAACTTGTGATCTATATTTTACTGATTATTCGGATAACTCAATCATATATTCATATGAAGTAATATTATCTTAATGATATTTTACTTTACGTACGAAATCTAAACATAATATAATATATTATCCTAATGAAACAAGCCTTCCCCTTACTCAACCCCTACTCGACTGCTATTTATTTTTTGAGTTAATACCAAAATGTCATTGACTATAGTGGTTTTTTTTCAATTTCGTCCTAAACGACTTTGGTGACCTAATATCGTCTCAGACTTTTGTGTTTCGCTCAATTTAGTTCCAGACTTTTGTGTTTTTGCTTAATTTAGCCCATCATTTATTATTCTGTCCATTTGGTGTTAAATAAATAGACAATTCAGTAATTTTAATATTGGCATCTATTTACTCATAGACATGTGAACTGCGAAATCTTTTTTTTTTTTACGAATTACTCCCAGAATTACTCCTAAAACTGCGAATATAAAATTTGATTTGCAGGTCCGGGAGTAATTCTGCGTATAATTCGTACAAGAAAGAGGAATTTCACACTTCACAAGTTGAAAGTAAAGAGAGATCAATATTGACATTACTGAATTATCCCTTAATTTAACACCAATTTGACGGAATAACAAATGGAGGACTAAATTGAGCGAAACACAAAAGTCTGGAACGATATTAGGTCACCAAAGTCATTTAGGACGAAATCAAGAAAAACTACTATAATCGATGACAATTTTGGGTATTAACTCTTTATTTTTTGCATCACATTAATTCAATTGATTTAGCCGAGTTTTAAAAGCATACGGTAATTTCCGGGGATTGCTTATTGCCAAATATTTATACCATTTTTGTTATATGGCTAACAAAAGAAATTCTTTAAATATTGTCGCCAACTCCAAGACCCTTCTAGCGAAGAAAAAACGTCAATCCCCTAGAGTACAAATGTACAATGTACATCACACACACACACACACACACATATATATATATATATATATATATATATATATATATATATAGGAAAAGGATCAGGTGTGAGAATAACTTCTCATAAAGTTGTCCGATTGGATGCACATTAAATACACAAACAAAACACCTTAAAAACACAAATCACGCACTTTAAGCAAATAACAAAGCACATTAAGAACACAAATCACGCATCTAAGGTTTTAAAAATGGTTCACTTTAAGTTTCACATAACTGACGCACCCTTAAGCATACAAACTCACGCATCTTATATACAAAACTCACACACCTTACTCACAAAAATCATGCACCTTACATTTTTGACATAAATGTAAAAAATTACCAAAATGACACCGCATTTTTTATTTAATTTTGGTAATCTAAACATTGATTTAAGCAAAATCAATGGTTCTCCTTTCACCGCACCGGCACCCTCAACCGCACACGAACCCATATATATATATATATATATATATATATATATATATATATATATATATATATATATATATATATATTTATTTATTTATTTATTTATTTATATGGACCAATATCTCATACAAGAAACACATTACGCATCCACACATTGCCAAGTACTCCGTAGAAAGTAGAAACTAAATTGCATAGAAATAGGAAACAGTGAAACCCAAAAAAAAAAAAAAAAAAAAAAAAAAAAAAAAAAAAAGAGGAAAGTGTAAGAAAAGTACAAAGATTAAATTAAAATAAAGTGTGTATTTACAATATTTTCTTTAATTTAAGAAAAATTATTTTAAAATTTAAAAATTTTGAAAACAATTTGGAAACGTTTTATGAAATGTAAAAATACTAATCTAAACATTCGTAGATCCATTCTTTGGGAAAAGCAAAAGAGTATTTTTCACTATTAATCTTACTTCTCTAACATTTCAACTTATAGTCCTCCACTATCACCTTTTTTCCACTATTTATCCCTTAATTTTGAAAAACAAAACTCGCAAAAAGACTAAAAATGATAAGAATTCAAAATTGAAACAGTAATGGTGGGAAAAAAAATGATAAGCCAATTAGGTGAAAACAAGACCAGAAGTGAAAAAAACACAGGGAAAACTTAAGGATCAATGCAAGAGGAGAGAAATCAAACGGTACACAGCATTATGTTAGTTCCAGTTGAAAACTGAGATTAGTTAAGATAGGTATAAATGACCACCAGACAGGCTGAGGTTTATAACGTTAAGTATTAGTAGGGTGCCAAATTACATAGTAAGCTACAAAGGTGTACTTAACAAGAAAAGCACACAATGAAACAACCCACCGGCTGTGGGTACATTCCGATACACAGCTCATGACGAGCGGGGCAAGATTTTGTGGCCACTTTTACTGTCTAAACCAAAGTTACTTTCTTGTTTCTCCATTTCCGTTATAATCAATAATAAATTGTTTTTTTTTTTAAATAAAAAAAAAAAAGTAAAAAATAACTCACTACATCGCCCTCTTGCATTTTCAGCTAGTATCATCAGTGGAGGTTTGAGAATCCATCAAGTGAGGATCATTGTGTTGTTCATCATTGGCCTATGGGTTAGCCCTATCAGAGGAAGGATAAAACTGTCGTGTCATATAAAGATTCAAAACACTACGGTTGATTGATCATGCGACGTTATGGAAATAGGTAAAAAATATAGAAAAGAATAGACAAACTATTTCACCTCTCTCTCAACACTACATAGCTGGCCGTAGAGGTCTTCTGTATCCTGGATATTCTCCTCAGTACAGCAGCGAAAGTGTCCTTGTCCTGAATAAAAATCATCAAATCCAGTTATATAAAGGGTGGCTAAATGTTGACAACTACTACATGTTGTGATACAATCATACAGAATGTTGTGATATGCTAAATGTGGCTCTGTCGTGTTCATGTAACAGAATTTATCAAGCTGTGCATGATACATCATCTGTACAGACAACTACTACATTGACAGGTTCAGATGTCGATTCATTTGCAGGGAAAAAAAAAAAAAAAAGCCCTGATCAAGCAAAAAATGTCAGACCTCTCTACACTTCAGTCGTGATTTAAATTGGTTAACAAGGTCCTGAGTGGTGACTGATTTTTTCTGCAGCAGAACAGCTCTGATTTCATCTTCAGTGACAGGTCCAGTGGAAGGTGTTGAAGCAGTTTTCGCAGATGATGATGATGCACCCTTGGTTGCGCTATTCTTTGCAGCAGATGGAGCTTCTTCTTTCACAGACTTTGCATCCTGAAACTCAAAAATAAAAGAAGCCAATCCATTAAAATTGACAAATTCGTCTCATTCTAAAATAAAATAAGTTATCAACAGTCAACTCCTTAAGTTCATCAAGTTCAAATAAAATTTCACACAATCATAGTTCAGTTCATGGCATACAGTTTCCGTCTTGACTTTTTTCGATGGAGCACCATTTGCAGATTTTGGCTCATCTGCATTAGCTTTTCTTTTAGCCTTTGCTGACTTTGAACTTGAGGGGGTTGCCCGATTGGATCCGGAAGCAGGTGGTTTTGCAGGACTGCTGGTCTCAACCGGTTCCTCTTTAGGAGTATCTTTCAGCTTTGGAGCTAATACAGGTGATGAGAAATCTTCTTCCTGGAATTTTTTCCCATGGGAAGGAGGGTGGGTACAAAAGAAACCAAGTGTAAACTTTCAAAATGGAAGAATAAAAGGCCATCTGCAATAGGTAACTACATATGCACAATTACTGAGATGAAAAATGAAAATAGTTGTACTTGACAACCAAATAAATGCATTCTTACCTCTTCATCATCATCATCATCCTCTGCATCTGACTCATTCATCCCGTTAGCTTTCCCAAGGAGTTTCTTCAACTCTTTACCTGATTTGCTCAAACCCCCTCCTCCTTCTTCATCAGCTTCATCCTCATCCTCCTCATCCTAAAACAGAAGAAAGAAAGGTGAATATATGCTGCCAAATCATAAATAACATGACACAAGAGCCAGCATTGCCAGACAAAATCATTTGAAGAGCATAATAATAATACAGAATGGTGTTCTATGTTCCTAATCCCCAACTCCATTTATTAAATTTTGATACATCTAACAAGTATATAACCAAAACTCCAACAAAAACAATATTTCATATTAACTTATAACAAGATATGAAGTAGAGTGCAATCAGTGCATAGTAAAATGTTGGAAGTTTCTAGCGATAAGATTTAAGACATTTACAAGTGCCCTATCATGATGTGCATTATTAACTTAAGTATCATCAACAACCCATGAACATTAATTGCCCAACCAAGTGCACAACAAACCTGCTTAATTTCTGGAGGAGCAGGGATTTCAGGAGCCAAATCTTCCCTTTCCTCAGGATCATTTCCAACAGCTTCATCATCATCTGTAAATATCTCTTCATGCTCCCAATCATCACCTGGGGAAATATGTAAATAGAAGTTAGAACTCCGTAAGATGAAGCTATATATCAAATCAATGTTCACTTCGGAGTAGTAATTGTCGGGTATAAAGGAGCAATCTAAAACATCCGGCAATAGCAAGAAATTCATGTCCTCAACAAATAATATGTACGGAAAGTACAACCTTGTTTAAAACATCCCCATGTTGAAAGAGACAGAGGGATGGATGAATAAAGGGAATAAATAAACTAGTAAATTAGCAGGTATCTATCAGAACTCAGTGTGAAGAAAGGTGCATAACCTACAGAGTTAAGATGGACATAAGAGTCCGGTAAGGAGAACTAGAAGGTAAACTTAAAACAAATTGCCATATTTGAAACAAGAAGATTTTAACCTTTTTCAATATCATCATCATCCAGATCAAGATCACCACCTCTGGGTCCCTCCTCATCATCATCGCCACTTTTTTTGTTGAGTCCAATCCTATTTTTCCTTGCAGATTCATCTTCTTCATCTTCTTCTCCATGATCTGATGCATTGCCCTCCTCATCGTCACCAGATTTCTTGCGAGCCTTCCCACCACCACCTCCACTTTCCTTGTCATCAAACCTTTCAACTTCTCCAAAGGCAGCAGGTCCGTTATTTGCTGCTTTCATCATCCATCTTTGGTACCCATCAGCAGTTTTCCTTCTGTTTTTCATCTTCTCTTCTGCTTCTTCTAGAGTAAGCTGCTTGTATTGTGCAACTTTGTTGAAGTTGTACCTAAAGATTATTGGCAAGTTAATAATTCTAAACCTATATAAACCTAAAGTCATGTGCACTGTGTATCATAAATATAAGATATTGATAGCATAAGCATTAATCAAGTATACCAGGACCCAGCAGGAATGGCAACAAACTCTCTGCCCTGCAACATTAGTAGGTAATATGTTGCAGATTGTGCACCCTCAAGCTGACCAAGGTACTGAGACTGGCCTGTTTCATCCTCCAATAACCATGGTTTATTCTTGTACTTCTCCTGCAAAATGCAATCACTTGATGGTAAAGCTAGCCAGTTTACAATGAAAGATATAGGCCTTGAAAACCTGCAAATCACCAGATGAAAGATGAAAGATGTAAAAGTTTAACCGATATCCCCTGTCAACTTGAGCCAAAGTAAAACCCAATTGAGCTACAATACTCAATGGAAAAATTAAGAAGCTGCAGCAATGCTTAGGTATCTAGCTCTTCACTAAGTGCTCCAAGATATCTTAATGATGCCATAAGTTATTATATAATAACTTTTCTCACCTACCTGCCCAACCACAAAAGTAAAAGGGCAAAAGGTTGAAGGTTCTGCCAAGTAGCTAAATAACTTTTGTGCATTACATGAGTAATTGATCATTTTTATTCCATCAGGTAAACTTCATACAAACATTCTAGCCATTTGGTCCAGGACTATAGTTATTTACACCATTATATGACAATATTACATGGGCATGTCACCCTCAAGTGCAAGGAAAGAATGCTTGAATAACAAAGCAAATTAAGCTCTCTTGGCCACCTACCAAGTTGGACATACTTTTACAAGTCTAAAACAATCACAGTATGGATAAGCATATGTTGGGAAGGATTAATGGGTACTGTTCAACTCAACCAAGACTAGCTAACATAGTTGGGTGGCTAACACCTAAATGGATACCAAAGAAATTCTGAATCTATCATTAGCCCTTTAGGAATTGTATCCTTCTTAATAACTCAATCCAATTAAAGTTTCAATCTACCACATTCTCCTATAATCCTATTAGGACCATGTTGACAAGTTGTATAACTCTTTCTAGCAAAGTACATCCATAAGCATATACTGAACCACCTCCAGATCATCTCAATCAACTTTAACTTAATTAGCTCATGTAAGCAACACTTGTATTTTCAATAAACTAAGCATGTGTTTGGTTCAAACATTGGAATGGGATCAAATACTTGGTAATGGTAATGGGTTTAAGTAAGAGGAGTCACTTTGTTTGGTAGTAAATAGGAATTGGAATCAAAATAAATAAATAATAAATTAATTAAAATAAAAATAAATAAATAAATAAATATATAAATATATATAATACATATAGAATTAATTTCACTTTTGGTGCACAATTTTAAATTTTTTCAATTTTGGTGCCTAACTTTATTATTTTTTTTTATCAATTTTGGTCCTTCCGACCAAATTGACGGCAAAATGTTGCCGGATTTTATATTTTAGGAGCAAAATCATCATCCCAAGGAAAGATCTTCAATATCTAAACAAAAGAAAAATCATATTAAGAGAAAAAGAAGAGATCTTCAATCGTCGACACTATAAATCACATAGATCTGCGTCTAGTTTCTACCTGTCTTCCCCATTATTCTCATCGATCAAACACCTATAGATATGATACCCCTAAAATATAAAATCTGGCAACATTTCGCCGTCAATTTGGCCGAAGGACCAAAACTGATAAAAATAACAAAGTTAGCCACCACAATTGAAAAATTTTAAAGTTGAGCACCAAAAGTGATAGAACCTCAAAAGTCGTGGGACCAAAAATGAAATTAATTCCATATATATGTGTGTGTGTGTGTGTGTGTGTGTATATATATATATATATATATATATATATATATATATATATATATATATATATATATATATATATATATATTAAAATTCCATATTTAGTGCATGAACAATGGCCTTTTTATTTTTTTTCATTTTTTCTCCCTTATTTTTTATTCCATTCTTCAAAAGTAGAGGAGTAAGGGTAATGAGTTTTGCAATTACTAAAGGATTTGATTCCAATAGTAGGAAAACAAAAGTAGACAAACAAACATGGCAATGGGTATCAAAACCCATAGTAGGGTGCAAAAGTCTCCAACCAAACACTAACCATGGCCCTAATCCTTTGCAAATCCAGCAACCCCTCTTATTGCTTGTTTCCACTTTCCACCATTAAGTTTCTAGACAAGGTTTGGGGTTAAGGAAGAAGTCTCCAAGACACAGACATTAGGACTAGGCTATGCCCAATCAGCTCCCAGTGACCAAGGTTGCTTGGTAGTTTCTTTTCATATATTACAAATTGTAGGAATAGGCACAAATTACTACAATCTGAAAATGTGTATGTATAGGTAAGCAGGCATGAAACAGAAGATTTAGACACTTAATTGATTTCATTATACCAATAAACACACAGTACTATGATGAAAGTCATCTAGTTAACATGATAACAGTAGCAGCAATAACTAATAAACCATTAGCAGCTAATACAAAGACCAAAAGGGAAAAGATAAAACGTGAGGCATTTATATCCAAAAAATATCAATACCCGTAAAGTATCTGTTACTTGGCGTCCTAGCAGACCTTCTTTCTGCAGCGACCACTTGTTCTCATTCTTCTTCTTTGAAAAATTTGGCAACCCCGTCGGAAATCTCCCAATGAAATAATTCTTGTCGTTAGTAGAGCATGCTCGAACATTGTATTCCTATTTATACCACAATTTAAGGCCAAGGTTCAGTTTATAACTATCTAGTGCAAATAATTGCAGCAGCATGCAAGCAGGTCAGAAAATCACATATAGAAGGCTCATTTGCTAGGCAGTGACAGACACTGTAATCCTTCTGTTTGCCTCCAGATATTGGTATACAAATATGAGAAAGGGGAAATTAAATAACTCCGACGTATACATTTTTTTTCCAAAATTATTTAAAGGGAATGCAAAATTAACACATTACATAGTAAGAGAAGTTGATTAAAAGCTTGGATGGCCAAAGCACAATACGTCTTTGATACGCCAAGACTTCAAATGGTCATGAAATAAAACACTAACTTCTTCAACTTATTTATTTACTAAATTATATGGTAAACTAGTCTAGTTTCTATGCTATCCAGACCACAAATTACATGCAAATCCTTTACAACAGTTGAATTTTACTTCTAAATTATGATTATTATAATGCTATCCAACCCACAAATTACAAGGAAATCCTTCAAAACAACTGAAAAACTATAATCAAATTATTCATTCCAATAAATTAAACCCGGAGTATTATGGTGCGATAAGCAGGTGGTCATGATTCACTAATACAGTTAGAAAGATAGGCATGTTCCATGCCAGGAAATGTTAGCGGACTCTTCAAACACATATACCTAGCAGTTAAATTTCACTAAACCTTGAACAATTCATAAATCCTAATATAAACATAGTTCGATTGGAAAAACCAGAAACTCGTCAGATTTCTATGAACAAAAGAAAAAAAAAAAATCAGCAACGGAAGGCGAACCCGAATCAAGCGAGTGATTGGAGCGCCGCACTTGTTGCAGGTGCCGTGGTTCTCGGCCATGGTTTTGCCGCACGACACGCAGAGAGTCAAGTGCTTGCAGGCGCTTCCGTACAGCTCCGACGACGATCCGCAGCCGCTGCATGATGGCTTCAGAATCAAATCCGTGGACATTCTTCTCCGCCCTAAGCTCTCTTACCTTCTGCAAAATTCACAGTAAATTTATTAATAATTGATTGAATTTAGGATCAAATTTAAATTGCCAGTGAGGTTTATCAGATTTTACGGTTTCTTGTTGATTTCAGTTGGATTATTGAATTGATCAGAGACTTCGAAGGCTCTATTTATCTCCAGTAGTCCTGTGTCGAGAATAAATGGAAATCAAAGTGCGCGACTCCGTATAAATAGACCAATTGTTCAGTGTACGACGCCGTTTACGAAAATAAAGGGAAACCCCAACTTCGATCTAAAGTTGTTTGTTAATATGTGAGAATCCGTATAAATAGCACCAAGGGTACAAGGGTCCAGTATACGACGTCGTTTAAGAAAATAAAGGTAACACCCAATTTAGTGCTTAAACTTCTCTTAAAAAGTTGAATCCTCAACTCCAATAGCCTTCCACACTTTGTTCAGACAGAGCATTTAAGCTCGTGCAGACAAATAAAAAGTTACTTTAAGTTATTCAAAGGGTTGCAGTTTTCATCCTTGATCTAACATCTAATGTTATATCTAACTAGTATTTTTGCCTGTGCGATGCACAGAATGGATTTGTTGTAATATATTAAGAATATTTTGATCGATATATAATTATTGAAATTAGAACATCAAATATTATATAATGTAATTGAAGATATAGTTTGGATCGTTTATATGTGATGATGTTATCATTGCTTGATGAGCAAATAATTGCTCAAATTAATAGCTAGTGTGTAAATGTATGCATTGGGTGCTGTAACTTTGAAGATTTTATTTATCATTGTTTAGTATTTTTATAAATTAGGCAAACGTGCTCGTTCGTTAACAACTCACTTATAAGAATGAACTGTTGTCCTAATTCATTTGTATGAATTTTTTTTTTTTTTTTGTCTAGATATATAGCAATTTTGCCATTTAAAAAAAAAAACATAATATCACCGATTGTATTTATACATTATTGAAACCTCATTGTAGACGACATTAGTAATAGCAACACAATCTTGTCCATTTTCGTCTATAGTTTTTTTTTTTGGGAATAAGGGAAGGGGATGACCCTGGCGGTCAGTTGCTTCTGCCGGTAGCAAAGGACCAAATGCACTCATCACTTAGGATGTCTCTCACCTCCTCTGGGGGTGTGTACAGTTCTATCCACTCGCATGATCTTCTCGGGGCAATTTTTGCAAGGCTATCCGCCACTTGGTTGAATTCACGAGGAGTATGCTCAAGTGTAATCTCCCACTCTTTCACCAGACAAGCTTTACATAGTCTAGTAATGTCACCACATGGTCCTAGGGGCTCAGGTCCGCTTTTAATCCATTGGATCGCTGTTAGGGAGTCACTAAAGATGTGTATTTTCTTAACTCCTTTATCCCACGCCCACTGCAGTGCTATAAGAACGGTGGCAAGCACTCCTTCTGTTGCACTGGAGGTCCGAGATAGACAGCTGAAACCACCAATCCACTCCCCTCGCTGATTACGAAGCACCCCTCCACATCCTGTGATTTCATTCGGGCTGGTGAAAGTAGCATCCGTGTGCAAATACATCCAATCTTCATGGCCTGTAGTCACGATCTTCGGCCGCATGTTCTTCACCTCCACAGCTTTGCTCCGAGCAAAGGCTCGCAGTCTCTCTTTATTCTGCTCTTGTAACCATCTGATCTTGTCTCTTTTCTCCCAGCTTTCATTCCTGAAAGCCAGGTTGCACCTCCATCTCCATATCCACCAGACTACTAACGCAAAGAGTCCACTCCAGTCACCTTCTTTATGGTTCTTCATTCGCCCTGAAATATTCATGAACAGCCAGGAGTCAAAATCCATATTAAAGAAATTTTTACAGGCCCCTCTAGGTAAGAAAACTCCCCAGATTTCCATTGCCTTTGTGCAGTTCCTGATGCAGTGTGCCACGTCTTCTTCTTGTTCATCGCAACCTGGGCAGCGGGAGTCCATTGAGAAGCTCCTCCTACGCCTTTCTCCATTTGTCATGATTCTTTTGTTCTTGACAAGCCAAAGAAACAAACAAATCTTGTTAGGTGCTCGTAATTTCCAAATCTTTTTCCAGCCAATATCGTTACCCATGTCGTCAGTTTTCATGGCAAGATCGTAAGCTGAGGAAACTGAGAACCGACCGCTACTTTCTTTGCTCCAGTAGATCTTTTCCTTCCCGTCATTTCTGGTGCGTAAACCTTCAGCAAGAATATCCTTTACCTTACAGATACCTCTCCACAGATTTGAACTTCCAGGTTTCCATGTGAAGTCGGGCATATAGTCGTTACTTCGGATATATTTGGCTTTCATGGTTCTTGCCCACAGGCTATCGCTCTCATTAATTAATCGCCTTCCCATTTTAGCAAGAAAGGCTAAATTCATTTGGTGGATATGCCTTAATCCAAGCCCGCCCTTGCTCTTTGGCAGTACTACATTCTCCCATTTAACCATATAAACACCCTTTCCCCACACAAAGTTACGAATCCTCTTCTCGATTTCATCACAAACTCCTTTCGGTAGCAGCATAGATTGCATCATGTAGTATGGGGTTGCACTTAATACACTCTGTGCAAGGATCACCCGACCTGCTAGAGTTAGATTTTTTCCTTTCCACCCTTCAAGTCTTGAGTTGATTATTTCCATGAGCGGTGTAAATAGATTGGTTGTAACCCTTCCATGGATGGAGGGGACACCCAAGTATCTGCCCAAATTCGTCGTGCTTTGGATCCCAGCAAGCATCGTTAGCCTCTCAGCGAGTTCGTAGTCCACATTCTTGGAGAAATGAATTTGCGATTTCTGAAGGCTCACTCTTTGCCCCGACATTGTTTCAAAGATGTTGAGGGTGTTCTTGAGAACCAACATTTGATCTTCAGAAGCCTCTGCAATTAAAACCATGTCATCAGCAAATAAAAGATGTGAGAGTTCAGGCCCATACCTAGATAGCTTAACACCCCTCCATCTCTTCAGTCCATTAGGATGGGTGACTCGGTGAAAATATATAATCGTAGAATATCAGTCAATTAGTGATCCTTTTATATTTTCAGTCAATTAGTAATATCACATTCATTTTCAGCCAATTATTCTTTTTATTTTCAGTCAATTAGAATATCATATGCTGTTATATTTTCGTTCCATTTTTAATTTACCTTTACTTGATGATGTAGAATATTATTATTGAAATATTTTTTTTTCATTTTTAATTTACCTTTACTTATGATGTATAATATTATTATTCAAATATTTTCCTTCTATTTTTTATTTTGTTCCATGGTTTAAAATTGTAAAAGATTTATGATATAATTGTGGTTTTGTTTTATAGATATGGTTTCTATTACACCGTAATGTTAGTGTTATAACTAAGTATTCACTTTAATCTCTTATGTAACATTTATATATCTATCAAATAACTAAATTTCTAAAGAAATTAATAAACAATTTGCATTGTATGAACAATTGCTTCAATAACACTTAAGTTGAATAACTTTCATTTTTGCTACCATAAATTACTTCAATTCGATTAAACATATTTATGCCTTTGAGTGCAAATTTTTGTCCTTCAAATACACATGTTTATCCTTGAAGTGTATATTTTTGTGTCTCCAAGTGCACAATTATGGACGCGTGTTTCTCATATGTTGTATTATGGACGAGTGTTTATCATTTATTCATTTTTCTTTTAAGAAAAATTATTTTAAAAACAATTTTGAAACGTTTTATGAAATGTAAAAATACTAATCTAAACATTCGTAGATCCATTCTTTGGGAAAAGGAAAAGAGTATATTAATCTTTTTTTACTTTTGTAACATTTCACCTTATAATCCTCAACTATCAACCTTTTTCCACTATTTATCCCTTAATTTTGATTTTTTTTAATCTTTTAAATCATTCCTGCTAGTTTTACAACCAAACATCACTTGTGTGCACATGTTGATTTCAAGTTAAAAAAAAAAAAAAAAATGATAGGCCAAGACTAAAGGTGAAAACACGACCAAAAGTGAAAAAAAAAAAAAAAAAAAAAAAAAAAAAAAAACAAACAAACAAACTCAGGGAAAACTTAAGGATCAATGCAAGAGGAAAGGAATCAAACGGTACACAGCATTATGTTAGTTCCAGTTCAAAACTGAGATTAGTTAAGATAGGTATAATTGTATAAATGACCACCAGACAGGCTAAGGTTTATGACGTTAAGTATTAGTAATCAATAATAAATTGTTTTAAAATAATAATAATAATAATAACTAACTACATCACCCTCTTGCAATTTCGGCCAGTATCATCAGTGGAGGTTGGAGAGTCCATCAAGTGAGGATCATTGTGTTGTTCATCATTGACCTATTGGTTAGCCCTAGCCCTATCAGAGGAAGGAGAAAAGTGTCGTGTCATATAAAGATTCAACACTACAGCTGATTGATCATGCGACGTTATGGAATAGGTAAAAAAAATACAGAAAAGAATAGACAAACTATTTCACCTCTCGCTCAACACTACATAGATGCCCGTATTGGTCGCTTCTATCCTGGATATTCTCCTCAGTGCAGCAGCGAAAGTGTTCTTGTCCTGAATAAAAATCATCAAACCCAGTTATATAAAGGGTGGAAAGCGTGCAGTGTCGTGTTCATGTAACACAATTTATCAAGCTGTGCATGATGCATCATCTGGACAGACAACTACTACATTGACAGGTTCAGATATCGATTCATTTGCAGAAAAAAATGTCAGACCTCTCTAGACTTTAGTCGTGATATAAATTGGTTAACAAGGTCCTGAGTGGTGACTGGTTTTTCCTGCAGCAGAACAGCTCTGATTTCATCTTCAGTGACGGGTCCAGTGGAAGGTGTGGAATTAGTTTCCGAAGATGATGATGATGCACCCTCGGTTACGCTATTTGCAGCAGATGGAACTTCTTCAACAGTCAACTCCTTAAGTTCAAAAAAAATTTCACACAATCAAAATTAACACATTACATAGTAAGAGAAGTTGATTAAAAGCTTGGATGGCTAAAACACAATACTCTTTGATTCGCCAAGACTTCAAATCAAATGGTCATGAAATAAAACACAAACTTCTTCAACTTATTTATTTACTAAATTATATGGTAAACTAGTCTAGTTTCTATGCTATCCAGACCACAAATTACATGCAAATCCTTTACAACAGTTGAATTTTACCTCTAAATTATGCCACATTAGTGACTATTAATTATTATAATGCTATCCAACCCACAAATTACAAGGATATCCTTCAAAACAACTGAAAAACTATAATCAATTTATTCATTCCAATAAATTAAACCAGAGTATTATGGTGGTCATGATTCACTAATACAGTTAGATAGATAGGTATGTTCCATGCCAGGAAATGTTAGCGGACTCTTCAAAGTTCAAACACATATACCTAGCAGTTAAATTTCACTAACCTTTGAACAAATCACAAATCCTAATATAAACATAGTTCGATTGGAAAATCCAGAAACTCGTCAGATTTATATGAACAAAAAAAAAAAAAAAAATTTGAACGGCGAACCCCAATCAAGCGAGTGATTTGAGCGCCGCTGCATGATGGCTTCATAATCGAATCCGTGGACTTTCTTCTCCGCCCTAAACTTCTTACCTTCTGCAAAATTCACTGTAAATGTATTAATAATTGATTGAATTTAGGATCAGATTTAAATTGCCAGCTAAGTTTATCAGATTTTACGGTTTGTTGTTAATTTCAGTCGGATTATTGATTTGATCAGAGACTTCGAAGGCTCTATTTATCTCCAGTAGTCCTGTGTCGAGAATAAATGGAAATCAAAGTGCGCGACTCCGTATAAATATACCAATTGTTCAGTGTACGACGCCGTTTACGAAAATAAAGGAAAACCCCAACTTCGATACTAAACTCCTACGAGCTGTTTGGTTGGAGATAGTTTAGGTGTAGTTGAATTGCAATTCTGCGAAAATCACAATTACGTTGTTTGGTTGGAGAGAATTGCAATTCCCTCCAAATGCTAAATTACAATTCCGGACTCCCCCTAGGAATTGTAATTCAGTGTTGAATTGGAGATTGGAAAGACATTTTTGTCCCTGAAGGTATTATTATTATTAGTACATGAGGGCATTTCAGTCATTGTATCACTTATTTCATTTCAATTCCCTGTAATCTTATTTTGCATACCAAACACTGTAATTTGAATTCCTAATTTATTCCTACCTTATTCTTTTCCCACCAAATTACAATTCATTTCCACCCTAATTCATTCCTTCCAATCAAACGGCTTGCTAAAGTTGTTAATGTGTGAGAATCCGTATAAATAACACCAAGGGTCAAAGGGTTCAGTATACGACGTCGTTTAATAAAATAAAGGTAAAATCCAATTTTGGTCCAAGTGTTGTTGTTGGTTAATTGTTTTTTCGTCACTAATTACTTCATGAGTTGTTATACCATGGACCAGGGTCCACTTTCAAGGTGAATCCTGATCCTAAACGACGTATAAATTATGTACTTTAGTAGTGGAATTGTGAACTTCTATAATATAAATTGTGCTTCTATATCAAAACATAAGAAATTAGTGAAAACAATATAGGATCATCAAATCCTAATATGTTAATATTGTATGACTGCAATATTTGAAATGAACTTGTGAATACAAAATAAGGTAATCAATTACATATATGTTAACATTGTGTGTTCGTAATATACAAATTATGAATTTTTAAAAGGTAAATTGTGAATATTTAGTTTATTAATTGTGAACATTTAGTATGTAAATTGTGAATATTTGGATCCGAGCCCACTTTTTTCGGGTCCACAAAATAATTTGCTTTACTTCATATGCTCGATTAGTCCTTAAGCTATTCAAACGGTTGCAGTTTTCATCCTTCATCTAACATCTAATGTTTTTTTTTTTGGAAAACAGAACTCAATTCATTAAATCAGCATCAAGAAACGGAACAAGAGAGACGGGCGGACCATCTAACCATTCCCCCGGACCTGTCACAGAAACGGCACCCCTAGCTAAAGCATGAGCTACAAGATTCGCAGATCGTTTTACAAAAGCAAAGTTGACCCCGTTTATCAGTGAGGCAACCTGACGTACATCATCAATCAAAAAACCAAAAGCAGAAAAGAAAGATACAGCATTTAGCGCATTAAAACATAACTGGGAATCAGTCTCCACATCAACACCTCCCATTCCCGTACTACGAAGCCAAGACAAAGCCTCCCGCATGCACATGACCTCTGCCTCAACCACCGTATACTGTCCACTTGCATGCTCTTCGCCGCGAGAAAACCCCCTCCGTCATCACGCAAAACCCACCCCAATCCCATAACATTTCGACTAGCATCCAATGCCGCATCACAGTTTAGCTTTATTCTGCCCGTTCCTGGCCGTGCCCATGTCTCCCGACCAGCAGACCCACTTCGCACACCACCACTATCCACTTGTACAGCCCTCCAATTCTCCCAGTAAGTGACCGCCTCACGCAGCACCACAGCAGCATTAAATTGCACCCCACTCCACACTGTTGCATTTCGACTCTTCCACACAGCCCAACATATCATAACAAATTTAGGCAACAAATCGTCTTTTAGGTGCGCTATCTGTTCGAAGAACCATTGTACAATAGAGCCGTGATCATGTGTCAAAACCGGCAACCCGGCCGCACCCCACAACACACGTACATGGTAGCAATCACGAAACATATGAGCATTCGTTTCATCAACGGTACCACACATATGGCAGATAACCATACATGCAACACGTTTTCGAGCTAAAGCTTCTCTCGTTGGTAGGACATCCTTCGCTAGCTGCCAGGCAAACACACGTACTTTCGGAGGTACCTGCAAGTGCCAAATGCGGTTCCAATCATAATCAGTTTGTACCTCCCTCGTGAGTAATCTATAACATGATTTCACAGTATAGGCCCCTTTAGAATCCCCCTTCCAAACCCAGGCATCCATAGGTCGGCGAATACTTAACGGGGTATTTAGTATGTAGGCTGCATCCCGTGCATTAAAAACATCCATCACACAATCACGATCCCATGCAGTCCCCGCCATATTCATCAACGAACTCACTGGTGCGTCACTCACAGTATCATGTAACTGGGTGGTCACATATGGATTTTCTGCCTGCACTAGCCACGGGTCCCTCCCAATTTTAGTGGAGCGTCCATCACCAATACTCCGCTGATACCACCATTTAACCGCCTCGTTCGCCTCCACAATACTCCGCCAAACATACGAGGGATTGTGGCCCACCTCCGCATTCATCAGATGACAATTCGGATAGTATCTACTCTTATAGACCCGAGCAACTAACGAGTCCGGCCTCGTTAATAACCTCCAGGCTTGCTTACCCAGAAGTGCAAGATTCATCTCCCGCAATGTCCGAAACCCCAATCCACCCTTAGCCTTAGGAACACACATTGCTTTCCACGACCTCCAACGGATCCCCGATGTACCCACGACTTTGCCGGTCCACCAATATCTATTGAGAATAACCTCTATCTCCCTGCACAAAGACACAGGCAAAGCGAAAACCATCATAGCATAACTTGGCAAGGCCTGCAAAACATTCTTCAACAACACCTCACGCCCGGCCCTAGATAAAAACCGTGTGTTCCACCCCCGCACCCTTGCTAGAATACGCTCCTTTAAAAAGCCCAGAATTGCTCTTTTACCCCGCCCTACCATCGAAGGCAATCCTAGATACCTCCCCGAAGTATCCCCCTGCTGCACCCCAAGGACATTCTCAACCGCATTCCTGCTCCCCTGATCTGTATTGGCACTGAAACACACCTGGGACTTTTCATAATTAACTAGCTGGCCAGAGGCCCCAGCATACAAATCCAAAACCTGTTTCATATGTGTACTCTCCTCCGAATTTGCACGCAAAAAAAGAAAACAGTCATCCGCAAATAGCAGATGAGAAATTGGTGGAGCTCCCCTCGCAACCCTTACCCCATGCAACATCCCCCGCCTCATCCGATTTTCTATTAAAAAACTCAACCCCTCCACCACCATCAAAAACAAGTATGGCGATAGCGGATCCCCTTGCCGTAAACCCCGCCCTGGCACAATGGGCCCCAACTGCCTCGGCTCATATAAAATGTGATACTGCACCCCACATACCGTTTCCATTATTATATCAACCCATCTCGCACTGAACCCCAACTTCAACATAACAGCCCGTAAAAATCGCCATTCGACCCTGTCATAGGCCTTGCTCATATCTACCTTCAGTGCCGCCACCCCTACCATCCCCTGTGTCTTTCGTTTTAAATAATGATGGGCTTCAAATGCCAGCAATATGTTGTCCGTAATTAAACGCCCGGGCACAAACGCACTTTGTGCTCTAGATATAACCTTATCCAACAATGGTCTCAGCCTGTTCGCGCAAACCTTTGCAGCAATTTTGTATAGAACGTTGCACAACGCGATGAGGCGTAAATCCTTCATAGAACTAGGCTCCGGTTTCTTTGGAATCAGAACTATTAAAGTCTCATTTGCTCTAGCGGGTAACCTTGCCGTTTCCAGAAACTGCTGGCAAAACCGAGTTACCTCCCCTCCCACTGTCGGCCAAAAATGCTGAAAAAACCCCGGTCCAAAGCCATCTGGCCCCGGGGACTTGTCTGGGTGCATTGCAAAAACCGCCTCGCGTACCTCCTCAACACTCACAGCCCTTTCTAAAACCGCATTGTCCCGCGCTGTTATTCCAGCTCCCAGACACACAACCACCTCATCCACATCCCCCGGCTGCGAAGTAAACAAGCCTTTATAATAGTCGACCATCACCCCCCCAACCTCGTCCACCCCCACTGCCACTGTACCATCATCTCTAGTCAGCTGAGCGACCCGATTCCGCCTTCTCCGTGTCCTAACTGAATTATGAAAATACTTGGAATTCAAGTCCCCGTCTACCCACCAATGCTCTTTAGCCCTTTGCCGCCAATACACATGTTGCTGCTCCAACAGAGCTAACCATTCACGCTCTACTCGATCGTACTCCATACAGCTCACGGCATCACCACGCGGCCTCAGTACCTCCAACCGCCTTCTACACCTGTCAATCCGCCATTGGAAATCCCTATTATAAGTACGGCCCCAGCGACTAATATCCCGACCACACAACTGTATCCTATTAATCCGTATCTAATATGGTTTCTATTACCCCGTAATGTTAATGTTAGAACTAATAATTCACTTTAATCTCTTATGTAACAATTATATATCTAACAATTTTTTTTGATAAATACAAAAATCAATATGAAATCCTCATCTTTGCTAATTTACAAAAATCAATATGGAATCCTCACCCAAATATTTTGTTTTGATTTGTTTTTCAAAGATCAATCCATGACATTTTAGGAAATCAAATTTGGATAATCCAAATAAAAAAACGAACGCATAAGATTAGTCATCACTTAAAGATGAGTCTTCATTTGATTCTTAATATCTCTCTCTCTCTCATATATATATATATATATATATATATATATATATATATATATATATATATATATATATATATATATATATATATATATATATATATATATATATAATGCACAACAAACTGAGTACGAAAAATTAAATCCATTGCATAAAATTAAATCACAGCCATCAGCTTATTTAAATGAAATGATCAGATCAGTCCTCTCGTCCTCACCTAAATATACGTGAACACACGTATGTATGTATATATTAGGGGGAACACATTGCAAATCTCACATTGGCAATGTGACATGGCAAGAGAGAGAAAATCATTTTCTATTTGTTTTATGCTTATGTGTATTCACAATGGAGAGATGGTTGGACTAAATTAGCAATAGGGGAGAGAATTTACAAATGAGAAAAAGCTTGCAAAACTGCTGAAAATGATGGCCACTGCACATTATAAATATGAAAGTGGGATCCATTTTCAAAAGTGATAGAGATTTGCAGGGATGTATAATAAATAGTGAAGAATTTACAAAATTGATGATATGGAAGTGAGATCTATTTTAGAAAGTGAGAGAGATTTGCAGGATAATTTCAGCCTTAATGTCATTTCCTATTTGTTTTCATCACTTGGTTATCTCATAATGGATGAGTTTTATAGTGGTCTAGTCAGCACAATATGAGTTTTAATGAAATCCGGCAGTTAAGGTTAGGTGCTAGATATGACACTCAGACTATCACGTGGTGATACTAGATCGGTTTCAGTCACTCTCAGCCGTTGATTTCACCTACTACTCTAACTATCCGAATTACTCATTTGAATTATATACGTATATAATGAAGTACGTAGTGATTAAGTATAGAGTTACGTTACTAAGAAGGGAAAGATAGTGAGTCACTCCAGCTTCCGTGCTGGCTACTCCCTCTATTTAACTCTATCCAAAATCCCGGCATTTGCCTTCCCGACGACTCACCGGAGCCTGCTACGACGCCGTATCATGGGCCTGAAATCATTCCTCGAAGTCAAGTCCGACTCCCACTTCCCGCTCGAGAATCTCCCCTTCGGCGTTTTCAAGCCCGAACCCGGTTCCGATGCTCGACCGGGCGTCGCTATCGGCGACTACGTTGCCGATCTCTCTGTGATCGCCGCTGCCGGTCTCTTTGATGGTCCGTGTTTGCGGAACTCCGATTGCTTCACTCAGGTCTATCCGTTTCCTCATTTTGATCACACTCGTTTGTATTGATTTTTTTTTGTATGGAGTGTTTTGTTTGATTTGCTCGAGTGTTCAAACTTTGAAATCAATTTTGTACTCCGACTACTTTCTGGAACGAAGAGTTTGCATCAAACACTTTCTAATGTCAATTTTACTTTGATTTTGTCTGGTTGAAGCTAATTGTACTTGCTCGTATAATTATGTAATGTCACTTACTGAATTTATCGGATCTTTAAGGACAGGATTTTTTTATTTTTATTTTTAAAGATACATGGGACTGTTGCTTGAATTGAGATGGTGATAAGTGATCAGCTGAAAAAAATTCATACCTGATTTGTTTAAGTTGGTTGTACACTTGTACTGCAGCCTAATCTTAACAAATTTTTGCATTTGGGACGGCCTGCATGGAAGGAAGCTCGTGAAACACTACAAAAGCTACTATCAGGTATTAATTTCTTCAAAAAGGAAGGAAATATGATCATAATATAATCTTCTGCATTCTTAATCTGTGTCCTGTACCTGAACTTATGTTAGTTTTATTTGAAACTTAAAGTTATGATGCGCGGCCCTGATGTTGGGGTGTGACAGAGTGGGATCTAATGTTTTTGGATATTCTGCTCTATTTTTGTGCAGCTACTGAGCCAAAATTGCGTGACAATGCAAGTTTACGGCAGAAAGCTCTTATCCCCATGGTTAGACTTATGTCAGATTTGTAATAATGCATGATAAAGGACTCTTGTTTTGTTGTTTATATTATATTTTTGTCTTGATGCAATAGGACAAGGTGGAAATGATTCTCCCTATTGCAATTGGTGATTACACAGACTTCTTTTCATCCATGCATCATGCAAAGAATTGTGGAACCATATTTCGAGGCCCAGAGAACCCAATCAACCGTAATTGGTATGTAATTATAACCAATATTTAAAAATTGGTTTGTAAGTATACAGATAAGAATTGAGGACAACCCCCCTCCTCTCTCCTACCCAAGGAATAAAATATAAAATGAAATAACCTTACTGGTATGTATTTCCAAACATTCTAGCTTGCTTATGGGAAATTGGGAATTGATCATTCATTTCCAGGTTCCATCTTCCTATTGCGTATCATGGACGAGCATCATCAATTGTAGTATCTGGCACTGATATTATTAGACCAAGGTAAACATATGATGCTTCCTTCACTTTAGTTAAGAGCTTGCATTTGTTAATTTGTTTATTTGATTAAAACAGTTAAGACAAGTTATTTTATAAGATTCCCTTTAATGTTTGATCATAATGCAAGATTATTGAATCCTTTTGTATGAAAATACAGTTCTGAAATGAATGCTTCTTAGTTTGATTCTTGAAGTAGTAGTCCACATCTCTGAAAGTAGTTCCTAGAGAGGGAGAAAGCTTGGGAATATTTGTTTGGGAAATGGTATATAATCATCAGCATCTATTATGTTTTGCATCTTCCTTTTTTTTTTTTTTTTTGGTGGAATTGGCCCGATAAGACGGGAAAGATACTACCAAACTCTAATGGTGCAAGCACCGAAAGCGTCCGCTTCGAGGAGCGGAATGATGGTTGCCGGTGGGGAATCTAACTGAACCGTACCCCAGTCAGCCGTTTGGCCCATATTAGCAAGTTGATCTGCGCACTTATTGCTTTCTCTCAACGTATGATGGAACCGCACCATCCTCAAACACCCCGCGAGGTATTTGCAGTCCTTTAACAGAGTAGACGCACATCCCATATCTTCATCGGAATTACCCATAACCGATACAACAGCCGCCGAATCAAGCTCAAAGATCACTCTGTTAACCCCCCTAGCTATTGCCAGCCGTAGACCCTCCCTTAGGCCCCACAGCTCTGCGGCAAAGCTATTCGAACACCCGATATTAGTGATGAACCCAAACAGCCATTTACCCTGATGGTTACGCGCCAAGCCCCCTGCACTAGCTAGCCCTGAACCCTTTTTAGACGCACCATCTGTATTGATCTTAATCCAACCATCCATTGGAGGCTGCCAGGAGATCCAAGCATTTCTTCCCGTAGCTCCCAACAAGTGCCGTGCATTCCCAGCCATAGTCTCATCTGTCAAAGCTTCTACCCGACGCACAATGAGGTCTGGAGGAGTGGATTTACGCTCGAAGACTCTCTTATTTCTGGCTTTCCAAAGTTCCCAGGATGTGTAGGCAAAGGTTGTAGACCACTGACGTCCTTGCATGAAGGTTTTGGACGTGCAGTTGTTTCTGAGCCAACGCCTCACACCAATCGGAATGCCATGTTGGAAGTCGACTGGATGGAAGGTTTTTCTCCACGTAGCTCTGGCAATATCGCAATGCATCAGAATGTGGTCGATAGTTTCATCAGGATCTCCGCACGCCGAACAATCACCGTTCTCCGACAAACCTCTGCTATGCCTCACGGAATTGGTAAAAAGCTTGCCATCGGCCGCCAACCAAAGGAACATCCTACACCTCTCGGACACTCTAGTCTTCCAGATCCAGTCATGATCATTCGTTGCCTCCACCGGACCTGAAACATAAGCAAAAGCTTCCTTGACAGAAAAATTACCTGTAGCTGACGAAGGCCAGAAGAGCGTATCTTCATATTGATTGCTGCAGGGGATGGGGATGGCTCTAATCAAGTCTACCACCTCTCTTGGTAGCATGGAGTTAAGCCTGTCAAAATCCCAGGTTCGGTTCGAAAGAATGAAATCACTAACCTTCGCATTTGCAGCGTCGTCGGGGATCGAGATGTTATCAAGCAGACCTAGTGGTTTGTTCCCAACCCACCAATCTCACCAGAGGTTAAGGCTATTCCCGTTCCCAACTCGCCAAGCCGCTCCAAGCTCGATCGTCGATCTCCCTCTTAGGATGCTTCTCCAACTCCAGGAAGAGTTCTTAGGGCAGGGGGCAGTGAAGAAATTGTCATCCTTAACATACTTTTCTTTCATGTCTTGGTTTGTATTCATTTGCCAAGCCAGTTTCGCTAAAAGAGCATCATTAAAATCGCTGCGAGCCTTCGAGATGTTCATCACGGGCCGTCCACCAAGACATGGAGACAATCCTGTTGCAGTTGGAAACTGATGATGAACCACCCTTTTCCCACGTCAATGAACTCCACCAGTCCTTGTGGATTCCATTGCCGCAGCATGCGTTGTTGAAAGAGAGAGAGTGCGATTGGTTTCCCCAGGTATTTTACAATGAGAGCGTTTTTCCATGGCTTGATCCATTCAGCCCTGCGAGCCTTCGAGATGTTCACCACGGGTATACCCTCCTCCCCTTCGATGGTAGAGTCATCAAGATCATCGTCCAGGTGGATCTCGTCATCGAACCAGTTGGCTTCGTCCTCTCGTGCCGGCGGTTCATT